TATAAAGTTAGATGAAAAATTCTACGCCGAAATAAGTGTTTTTCAAACAAATTCCATACAAATTGAAGATGTTATAATTCCAAATGTATTTGAAATTAAACATATATGTTTTCTAACAATTAATTTAAATGTAAGCTTAATGATTAAAAAATGTCTATTTATGTCTTTTAACAAAGACCTTATTTGTATTTTACCAAATAATATTGAAGTTCAATAAACTTATTTCCTTTACAGGTTGTTTTTATTCAAATAATTCCTTAGAGTTATAAAGTTGTGTGCCGTGAACGGCTAACAACCAGTTAGTTAAAGCTCAGTAAAATTTGACAAAGCAGGTAAACTAAAGTAACTATACAGGAGAGGAAAACAAAAAGCGCGAATGAAACCAGACGTTTGCGTACGAAACAGGACCGAAATGGACAAAGGAAATGCAGGCAAACCGAACGCGGATGAAAGCAGAGGTTTGCAGTTAAAAGCAGATGTTTGCAGATGTTCGCGGATAAAAGCAGATATTTGCGGATAAATGCAGATGTTTGCGGATAAAATCAGATGTTCGCGGATAAAAGCAGATGTTTGCGGATAAAAGCAGATGTTTGCGGATAAAAGCAGATGTTTGCGGATAAAATCAGCGGTTCGCGGATAAAAGCAGATGTTTACGGATAAATACAGATGTTTGCGGATAACATCAGATGTTTGCGGATAAAAGCAGATGTTTGCGGATAAAATCAGATGTTTGCGTATAAAATCAGATGTTTGCGGATAAAATCAGATATTTGCGGATAAAATCAGATGTTCGAGGATAAAAGCAGATGTTTACGGATAAATGCAGATGTTTGCGGATAACATCAGATGTTTGCGGATAAAAGCAGATGTTTGCGGATAAAAGCAGATGTTTGCGGATAAAATCAGCGGTTCTCGGATAAAAGCAGATGTTTACGGATAAATACAGATGTTTGCGGATAACATCAGATGTTTGCGGATAAAAGCAGATGTTTGCGGATAAAATCAGATGTTTGCGTATAAAATCAGATGTTTGCGGATAAAATCAGATGTTTGCGGATAAAATCAGATGTTCGCGAATAAAACCAGATGTTTACGGATAAATGCAGATGTTTGTGGATAACATCAGATGTTTGCAGATAAAATCAGATATTTGCAGATTAAAATAGATGTTTGCGGATAAAAGCAGATGTTAGCGGATAAAAGCAGATGTTTGCAGGTGAAATCTTATGAATCAGACTTTTGCAGACTAAATGAGATGTTTGCGGATTAAAACAGATGTTTGTGGATTAAAATAGATGTTCGCGGATGAAAGTAGATCTTCACGTATAAAAGCAGATGGTTGCAGGTGAAATCGGATAAAGCAGACGTTTGCGGATTAAAGTAGATGTTTGCGGATAAAATCAGATAAAACCGGGTGAATGTCGGATAAAAACAGATATAAATGGACATAAAACTAGCTTGGTTTTTTATCCGCAATCATCCGATATTACCCGTCTTTTTCAGCAGGGCTCTTAATTTCTCCGACACTCATTGACTGTTCAAGTTGATTTTTGATTTTGAAAACATTTTGTTAAAAATACCTAATAATATTTTACCATATAATTTACGATATTAATTAATAATAAAATGTATTTGTAAATTTTGTAATTGTTTTGTTTATAATATAAATGTTATTTAAAAACATCAAATATATATATTTTTCTGGGTGTTCCCTAGACACTTTGACTGTGTATATTTCATATTTTGTTAATTGATACAGGATTTGAGTTAATCCAGCCGGATTAACGGGCCCAGGCATAGAGTCTATGGGCCCAGGCCCGTTCCTGAGGTGTCTGGCGCCTACATGCAGCATTCTTTGGTGCGCCCCTTTTATATTTAAATAAAATACATTAAATATTTTAATTTTAAACCCTAAAATTTTTAAAATAAATATTTTGCGACAAACTGGCAATATTTAATTGAACATGTAAAAAACCACTGAAATTAAGCATAAAAAACATTTATTAATTTACCAAAACAAACAAAATCACAAAAAATATTTAGTAATAAAAACACCCTAAAGAAAGCAAAAAAACTATATAAACAACCCAGTAAGCACCAAACACTCGGCAAACAGTTGGCCTTCGCTCGGGATAGGCGGTTGACCGGCGCGCCGGTCAGTCGCCTTCAGACGTCCGGACGTCTGAAGGCTTTTTTTGAATGGCCAGGATGTTGTGACCGGCACTCGGCCAACTATACACAGCCGACACTCGGCCGAGTTAACATAGCCGACATTCGGCCAGGCGGACATGCCCGGCCTACACGCCGGAACAAATACATGTGTCGGGCCGCACGCGGCTGATTCGGCAAAACGTATTCGGGCCGTATGCGGGCCGGCTAGCTTGTGCTTACTGGGGATAAAATGACATAAAATAAAAATTAAAAAAAAAAAAACTTTACTTTGACATGTTTTGTTTAATTTTATTGTAAAATGTGTTTTTCTAGCTCTGAAAAACAATTTTATACGAATTTTATTTATTATATTAAGTTTATAGCTAATTTACAAAATTTAATTATATTTATGTAAATTTAAAACGAGTTTTATTGCAAAAAATCACCTAAATAAGATTAGGTTATGTTATTTAAAAACTTAACAAATCAATATGTTCTTTATCCCCTCCACTTTATCCCCTCCACTTTATTTCCGACTTTATCTCTGCTGATTCCCCCGCACAGCATGTGCAGTATCGGTGAGGGGGGAGGAAAAATCTCAGCTCACTTGAGATTAACTGAGATCTTAGCTAAGAACTCAGTTAATCTCAGCTCACATCGGTAAAAAGAACGCACCTCATAATTATGTTAAGTTATTGTCCAAACCCACAATGTGGGTCCCACCCAGTGTTGCCAACACGTAGGGAAATTCCCTATTCGTAGGGAAAAATATGATTTTTTGTTAGGTGCAGGGAAAAAGGACAGAAATTATTTTTGTAGGGAAAATTTTTTTCCATTAAAATTGGCCTTTTCTAAGAAATTTTATAAAAAAAAATTATTGATAGATGTACTTATTATGAGGTTGAAAGGGTTGCATAATAGACTCGATCTATCCTTTGGCATCTACGTAACAGATGTCGGTTTATTAGTTGTACCCACAAAACTAGAAGTTTTGTGGTTGTACCAAGTACTATATAGTACCTGTATACAGGTCATGTTTATGATAATTATAAAGAATAAAACAAGGTACCTACTTAATATTTTTAAATATTAATTGGATAATAATTATAATTATTATAGTCCTTGTTTTCTAAAATGTACCTACCTACATACATTTATTTATTTTTGTATAAGAGTTATATTTTTTGTTCTTGTTTTAAAAATTTTTTTGTTTTTAAATTATTTTTATGAAATAAAAGTGTTTTAATAAAGTTTTTTTGGGACATTCATTAAATTATTATTATTTTTAAATGGTAGAGAAAATTAAAGGGATTTTTTTTGTTGGTAGGGCAAAAAGGGGAATTTTTATTGGGTTGGTAGGTACCACAATGTGTGGATTGTGGTAGGTACTATCTATACAAAATGTTGGCAACACTGGTCCCACCACATTGTGGCCCACAATGTGGTGGGACCAGTGTTGCCAACATTTTGTATAGATATATATAGTACACAATTTGTGGGTCCCATCACAATCCATAAGCTGGCCATACACAGGCGTTATTTCGCGCGGTTTATCGTGGCGTGTTGGGATTTAGCGGTTAGCATGCACGAAAGAACGGCATGGCAAAAAAAGCGTCATGTTCCATACACTTGATAAAGTATTCAAATGATTTAGCAAGTGATTGCCCGTGGTATATCAGTTTCAAAGGAAAAATCGTATGTGAGTGGGCAAAAAGTGTCATTTATCGAGTCGTTTGAAACTGCATGTGATCATGTACAAATTTTCAACGTGAAATTTTGCCAAGCAAAGGTAAACCGTGACGCGGAATGTGGCGTGTGGACACGCCACACTCCAGAGAAAAGCACGTCTGAAATCCCTTCCCGTTCTATCATTGCGCGCGGCGATACTCACTCACGTACATGATTTTCCATATGTTTTTGCAGATAACACGATAAACCGCGCGCAATAACGTCTGTGTATGGCCGGCTATATACTTTAGATTTTGATGCCAAGGGAATAATAAGTCCATAGATTAAAAAGAATAAGTCCACTCTGTGGATGAGTCATTCGAAATTCCGTGTGCCCCATTGTTTCACACATACAATTTGTATGCGCTTGTTTGCGAATTATCTGCCAGCTATCGAAAAAACTAGGAACTAGGTGAATTAAAATAGGACCTCTGCATTTTAGTTATATTTTTATCAGCTAGATGCTTACAACTGTCATCTGTCTACAGTGTTGCCAACACGGCGGTTTTCCCGTCAAATATGGCGGAAAAAAAATTGACTTGACGGATAAAAAATGGTTTTAGCGGATAGCGGATTTTTTAGCGGAAAGTATTAAAACTTCTGGCGGATAACAGTTGCAAAAACCGCTAAAAAAGTATTAAAAGTTAGTTCTAAGTTTCTAAAGAGTTGGCGAAACTTATTAATGTTTGACATTTGACACTTCGAATAAAATTGTCGGTAAAACAGTGCGCAATAAGATAAACTATATTAATGCGCACTGTTTTACCGACAATTCCTAGTGTCAAATATCAAACATTAATAAGTTTTGCTAGGTTATTTGAAATAACTTATTTCTACGAGTTTCGCCAACTCTAGTTATATCTCTAGTTAAAGACATCCCATTAAAGTGTGTGTAGAAGAGGAGATGAAAGATAAAAATTTTAACAGAATGTCCAACAAGTATACCCAATGACTAAAAAAATGTTTATTTTTTTAACAATTAATAATTAAAAAGTATAACATCGTAATATGACTGCAAATTTTTGTGGGAGGAAAATAATTTTAAGTACCTAAAAAGAATAAGAAAATACAATATATTTTTTTATTATTCCAAAAATAATTTTAAATCTGGCGGATTTTTAGCGGATTTTCAGTTTGCCTTCGGCGGAAACTACTTTCAGACTGTTGGCAACACTGTCTGTCTAAGCAGTGACAGAATGAAAATGTTAATCAAATTGATTGTCGCATATTCAATCAATTTATTAATTTTTGCTGAATAGAAATTATGAAAACGAAACCATTAACTTGTAAATAGCATCAGACTGTAAACAAAAATCGACAAAAATGGATTTACATCAGCCGGTTAACATAAACAACAGGGTAATATAATTTTCTTAATTTAAGCCCAAAACAAATATTCTAATCTTATTAAATTTTAATATCATGTTAAAGTAGCACATTTGTCGTGTTTAGTTATACATTTTATCAGTAAATTCTTTTAATTTTAGACCATGGATGAACTAACACCAGAGGAAAAATGGAGGTTAGGATTTAAGGGGAAAATTGCTTATTTTTTATAAATAATGATATAAGAATTGGGTGAGAGACATATGATTAAGTTTATTTTAAACTATGTAAATAGGTATAAATTTTTATTAAAAAATAATGAAATTTACTGTTATAACTTCATATGTTTTTTATCAAATTATTATATTTATTTATGCCTTGAAAAAAGTCCCAAAATTGAACATATTGAGATTGAATTTTCTTATTGTATTTTATGTAATTTTAGACTGGAACATCAGAAATTACATGAACAGCACAAGGGACATGAAAAAATGCATGCTGAGATGGTTATAATTCTTATAGTAACACTATTTGTTGCCCAATTTGTTTTAATTGAGTGGAAAAAAAGATTCTACAAGTCTTATTTAGTGTGTTAAATTACTATAATGTAAAACACAGTTTAAAATTATATTTTTAGATAGTAACTTTGCTGGGTATGTGGATTATTCCATTGGGTTTAAGTTTAAAAAGCCATTGGTGGCGATTTATTTTCATATGGTTGCTGTTTTCTTGCATAACAGGGCTTATAGTTTTTAAATCTTTGCAAAAACCCATTGATAGAGTTACTCCAAGGTATGTAATGATAACAGTAAAATGACCTTCCCAACTATAAAACCCTGATAACATTTAATTCAATTATAAATAAGTAATTAAAATTTTACCACTTTTACTATTAAAAATAGGACCTAAACTAATTCACAGAAATGCTACAAAACAATATAATTGTTTAATTTACCATATAATAATATATATTTTCTGCTAAATATACACGGAAAATAGTAAAGGTATGAAATAATGTTTGTAATTTGTATGTAAATGGGGGGTAAATATATTATATTAAAACAGTTTAGATTTATATGCTCTAATTGAATACTATATGGAATATAATACAAAGGTTGGTTACAAGTAATATACATGCTGGCCCAATAAAACCCCTAAAATTTGACATGATAGGGCAAGTTATACCTAATTCAACAGGTATGGCTCCAATGAGGTCAAAAATTAAAAAAAAATACAGGGCTTTTAATTAAAAAGTAGCCACCCTTAATAACTTTTAAGTTATAGTAAATATAATCTTGAGCAAAAACAGGTTGATTTAGATATCAAGGTGAAAGTACAAATCCAGTGTTAACCAAATTGTATGTTGAGACCTCTCACCTCCAGCTACCCTTACTAAAAAATTTTAAATATATAACCTTGAGACACATCACTTTAAAGGAAAATTTAATTTCTGATCCATTGAAGTTAAAAAAAATAAAATCTGATCAAGAATTTGCAAGTTAGAGCCAAAAAAGGTGTAATATAAATAAAACAAAGAATTCCATAAAAAATTATTATGTACAAAATGTGCTCCATTAGGAGTTATCTGCCTTCTTTTTTGAATTATTCTTCATTGGAGTTCGTGAATGGTGTCGTCAGTTGGTGTTTTGTAGACTTGGTTTAAAATGACCTCAAAGAAAAAAATCAAGTGTCGTTAAATCTGGAGATCTTGCCGGCCATTCTTGGGCACCTCTTCTACCAATCCATTTCTCGGAAAACCTTTGGTTCAACCATTCTCTTACTGGTAAAGCATAGTGAGGAGAAGACAAAACTGGATTATTTTGTCGTGTTCATCTTTGCTGAGTTGCTGGCACATTTGAATTTTATAAGGGAAAACCCTATTTATTTTTAGCACCTTATGAATGGAATCAACAGAAATATTTGTTCATGCAGGTACTTTTGGAATGGATGTGTATCCCCTCAGCTAAAAAGCCCGAGTTTCCCTAAATTTTTCCACATAAAAATTAGTTCCAGTTCTTACTGCTAAAGTAAACCATTTTTTTATTTAGGTATTTTTATATATCAATACAAATATTTTAACTAAAACGTGTAACAACTCTGCTAAAGGTACATTAAAAGGAAGAAAATAAAACATGTTTTGTATGTAGGTATAATTTTTTATGGAATTCTTTGTTTTATATTTATTACACCTTTTTTGGTTCGCGAATTCGTGATCGTATTTTAATTGTTTTAATTAATTAATTAATTTTTTTTGCATTTCCTTTAAAAGTATGTGTTGCAAGGTATAGAGTGCTATTTTTTTTAGTAAGGGTAGTTGGAGGTGAGATTTACTCAATGCTAATATATAGGGCCTAGTAATAAAATCTAAAACATTTTTACATGCAAATTAAAATATGGTTAAATAAGTACCTATATAAAAATAAAGTTATTAATTATTTTAGATTTGTTTATAAATGGTTTCTCTTAGTTTACAAAGGCAGTTATGTGCTTGGAATACTTGGATATTCCATAATGATGGCTGCCTTTTTTGGCCTAAATTTGTTATTTAATGCTAAAATCAACACTTGGATGGATTGTGGACTATTATTTATATTTTATGGACTCTATCTTGGTGTTTTGGGCAGAGATATATCGGAAATTTGTGCCGACAGAATGGCTGCACAAATAGGAGTAAGTAAAACATATTTTACTTGTAAACAAAATTTTGCTCTAGATTGTGTTAAATGAAATAATTTTAATGATTTTAGTATCCAAATAGTTAAAATTAAATTTAGGGAAGACTAGGAAGGTTTAATTCTACATGACATTAACAACTCCCTTTTTTCTATGTTTTTTAAATGTATTCAGATGAATTACGGCCAACTTTCTCAATTGTTGACCAATATACTATTCTTGTTTGTTTAGTAAGCTATCTTGTGATGTTAAAAAAATATTTTGTATCATACATGTTGATAAAAAGTTGAGAATCTCAAAACAACAAAGTCGGAAGTTGAGACTCCTGGAAAGCAATGGAATTACCGCAAAAAAAATTACATGCAATTTCAAATCAATGTTTAAATATTTAAATAAGCTTTAAATGCGCTTTTGTATAGTATTTTAATTGTACAGGGGATAAACGTTGCAACATTTTGAAACTTGATGGTTCTTCTTCTTAAATCTGAACACAGATAACTGTGTTCAGGGGTAATGGCCTTTAGCTTAATTTAAAAGCTATTTGGCCAGCTCATTATGTTTAAAAAAAGTTAATATGAACAAGGGTCTCAATCAAGAGAGTCTGAGACTCAGACTCTGAGTTAAACTCATCCCTTGAATCATTTATATAATATATTTATTTTAAAATCACTTTATGTCTATTTTCTTTTATCACTTTAGTACACTTTTATCTTCGGTTTTTCTTTCTTCAAATAATTTTTCTTAATTCATCCATTTATACTTTAACATCTATTTAATTACATTTATCTTCAATACACTTCCATTCATCCATACTACTCTTCTAAAAATTTTAATTTATGTTTTACCAGTTCGTTTTCCATATTTTTCAGTATTTTCTCCTCCAATTGGTCAATATGCAATCAATATTTCTTGTTAATTTCATCCATTTTACCTTTTTTTTAAATAATTTCAACCATGCGTTACATGGCAATTGTCTGCTTGCAAACTTATTTCCGTATATATTCTAACCATCCGTTGTGGGAATTTCTCGTAATTTACTTAATCTGATGTAGATTTTGTATATTTAATAAATACCAGCGTATTTTTGTACTGGGAGTCCCATATTGTCTTCCCAAGGAAGGCCGTCTACAACCTTCTGCTTCAGCAGACAATACAAAACTCGAAAAACTTGATGGTTACACGGTGTTATGTTATTTGTGTGGTTAGATATTCCCATTTACTTTAATATATCGCTGTGACTAGAGGCACGCTAACGTGTTAAAGACACGTTAGTTACGTCATAATTATTTTAAGTCATAATTTTAAGATTTTATGTTACGATAAAACTAAAACAAACCAACCAACCCAACCCAACACTTTTTAACAAAAAAACAACAAATTTATGAAATAAAAAAACAAAAAAGTAGTAGTATCGAACACGGTACCTCTCGCATGCAAAGCGACCGCCCTACCATCTGAGCTATCTAGCTTGTTATCGATTTTATATCTCTCGGGGAACAAAAATTGATTATTATTATGACGTAACTAACTTCTTCTTCTTTCAACTAGGGCGGGACAAAAGTCCTTATTAACCAGATACCTTAAAACTTATTACTTTATATAAATTCCTCTTATCCCTTGTACAAGGACCAATCGAGAAATATTATCGAGAAACAGGAATATTTCTATTCCGGGAATCCAATTTTGTCTCTCCTAGGTCGAAGATTCATCTATATTTCACACTTTTCATTGAGCGGTCCGTACCCTAGCACCAACATAATCGAACTCTCGACGTAACTAACGTGCCTTTAACATTTGGAATCGCGGCACGTTAGCGTGCCTCTATTCACAGCGTTAATATACCTATACATGGCAGATGCTCGAGCGCTTTGCAAAGCGCTCATAAGGGCTTATAAGCGCTCATAAAGGCTCATAAGCGCTCATAAATGCTCGAGCATTTATAAACGATGAAATATAAATTTTATAAAAAAAATTATTGAAAAAAAATATTCCAACAAAATAGAGGTAAGTAAACCATTTTGGGATTGGATAAACCTGCACATGTTCTGATGTAAACAGTAGTTATTTGTTGGTTAATTTATAACGCGGCTTTTTAGTTTTGGCGTCAAATTCAAATATCGAGCACTTTGGTAAATGCTCGAGCATTTATTTATAAGCGCTCGAGCATTTATGAGCACTTAAGTGCTTATCCTTCTCTACTTTAATATTATTTAGTAGTTTAGCAGTTAGATTTATAGTAGTTCAAAACCGCTCATTATAATGGACCAACCCGATATATTATTATTGCATTTTTCAATGTTTAATTGAAAAATCTTAACAAGCTATTAAACCACTAGTAGTTTAAACCTGCTTTAAACCGGCCTGGATAAAATTCAAACTTTTAGTTTAGGCCGGCCAAAACTAAAATCAATAAAAGATTATCAATTTTAATGTCAAAATTTTATTAAAGGTAAAAACAACGGTAACAAATTGTTATTATACTAGCAATGTAACAGTTTTTTTTCTATCCTTAACTTATTTTGTTTTTCTGAATTTTTTATCTTCACATTGGTACAAAGTAGCCATCTAAATACGTACCAATAGAATGGTTATTTAATATAGGTGTTTTCTTGAGATTTGGTTATGTTTATTGGAATGCATAATAAAATATATTTTTTACATAACAGAATAACAAAAAGCAGCATATGCTTTTTGTTATATGTATAAATAATATTTTAAACATTTAAAAATTTGGCGTTCAAAATGTAAAATGCGCTTTTTTACCGTTTTAGCCGGTTTTGACCGCTGGTCCGGATAAAACATCAAAAACCCGTTTTTTTACAACCCTGGGTCAGACCTCCCCAGTCTCTATATCTTCATTGAAATATTCTTACTTATTAGGTTCCTACTTATATCCTCCCTTATATCTTGATTGTAATATTTTTTTTGATTAGGTACTTTGTATATTCTACTAAAACTATTTTTAGTATTACGCCCCTCAAGGCATGCCGACAAGAAATTTAGACCCCGGAGTTTGCGCAGTTTGTGGAAATAAATTATTAGTTACAGAGGATGAGGAAGGAATCATCGAAAATACTTACAAACTATCTTGTGAACATGTGTAAGTATTTTTAGGATTCTATTCTATTTATAATTTTTAAAAGTTATTTTCTTGAAAAAACTACTTATTTGTTTCTAGTTTCCATGAATTTTGCATAAGAGGCTGGTGCATAGTGGGAAAAAAACAAACATGTCCGTATTGCAAAGAAAAAGTGGACCTGAAAAAAATGTTCTGTAATCCCTGGGAAAAACCGCACGTTCTTTTCGGCCAGCTGCTCGATTGGATAAGGTGGCTGGTTGCCTGGCAACCTATGATCCTATTTTTAGTGCAAGGAATCAACTGGTCATTGGGTTTGGAGTGACACCAATTTTTCATCTATTTAATTCAAACCAAAGTGATCCAATTATGTCCTTGTTAACAATTTAACGAATTTTTGTTGTGCTGTGAAATGTTTTAGCTGACTGTATTTTAAATAATAAATTTAATTAATTTATTAATTTTTATGTGGTACATTTGATGTTTTCACATTTTCCAAAAAATCTGTTGTGCTCTATTTTGCCAGTACTTCTAATTTACTAGTCTATGTACAAAAAATAAAAGATTTACGGTCCAAATACGATTTTAATTTAAATAGTTACTTTATTGTATTCACTGTGATTACATATATTACACTTATTATTGTTATGACTTAAACAAAGGGTATGAAAAATATGACCACATATTAATCTAGATGGATTGTTTATAATGGGAGTATTCATGGGTAAGTTACAGTAATGGCAATTTGGAATTTTATTTGTAGAAGTACAGGCCATAGGTAAACTAAATTTCCCCAAATACTTGTTTCTTAGATAAGTATTCATATTTTTCTCAAACTAAAACAAACTTATTAAAATAATATCATAAAATGTAAACTACTTACCTCACAAGAAGAGTTGCTATTCAATACTTCATCCAAAAAGTTAATTTGTTTATTATTAAAACCAACTTTTGCAACTGAAGCAAAAATGCAAGCTTGATAAAATTTGGCGTCCAATTCACCATTCGCTATGAATTTTGCATATCTCTTAAACAATTTCGTGGTATTTTCAGGACCTATGGATTGTACCATTAATAAGCCTAACTGAGACCAGGTTAAGGCTGACTCGGCATTAATAGGTTTTCCACAGTTCAAACATTTGCCTTTTTTAAGTGTTATTATGTGTTTGATTGTATCATCCCATACATCATATGTAAAGTTGCTCACATGACATTTAAGAATGTCTAAATCACTAAATTGTAAAAGTAAAGGAAGATTTTTTTGTAAATCATTAAAATTTCTGATATTGCCTAGCTTATTTTTGTACATATATGGAAGTCTTATAATATAGTCTTCTTCATTTTCTAATAAAGTAACTCCAAGTTTATAATACTTTGGTATACAATTGTGTAAATTTGGTATTGGAAAGTTACACTTACAAGTTAACTCTGCATTTTCCACATTCAGTTCTAAAAATCCCTCTCTTAAAAACGCTTTAAAATCAGGATTGAAATCATCCAAACAAAAATCTCCTTTAGAAAACTGTTTTAAACATTGTTCCTGACACCAAAGCTTGCAATCAACATCATGTTCATCTTTAACATACTGTATAAACTTTTCAATTGTTGAAAATATAGAAGTAGACTCAAAAATTTTACAAAAATCAGGTATATCAACATTTTTATGCGTTTGGTGCAACTTATATTGCTTATACATTGTATATATTTTTATATTATTATCAACTGCCTCTTTTGCTTTGGTTGAAGTGCTTGGTACAAAGTTTTCTACCGACTCAGGTATTAAATCTGTTGGATAAGAATTATCTATGTAAACAATTCCATTGTTTAATTTATTCGATTTTATTTTGTTACTAGATAATTCCTTGATTCTCAGTAGCATTGGCTCAATTTTTTCCATCAAATCCATTTCGTTCAATTCCAGAAGCTTGCTTTTAAGTGATGTAAGTAAATATAATTTTTTTGAAGACTCTAACATATTGTATAAATCTTTGGAATAATAAAGACACAATTCTGTACATAAATAATAATGTTTTTCTTTTAAAGTTTGTAATACTAAATCTTCTAAATTTGTAATAGAAAGTACATTGATTTGTAAACTATCTCTCCAAATGTAAATAAAGGAGTTTACAATCCTTATATCTCTTATATTTTTTAACGAATTGGTCCAAAAGACTAGATTACTTTCAATAGGATTAAATACAAAAATACAATCTTTATCATAAGTCAAAATAAACTTATTAGAAATGTTTAAAATCCTTCCAAAATTAAAATCTTCAACTAAATTCTTATCTTTGGTAAACTTGGAAATATTTATTCTTTCATCCAATTTATCACCCACGTGAACAATATCAGAAGGAGGATTTCCAAAGGAAGACCTGAACTGATGTGTTTTCAACACTGTAGCCTCAAAATTCACCTCCCAAAGTCTGGCGCCTGGTCTTCCACAGTAAATTTTGGCATCTATATTACAACTACCAAAATTAACATGTTCCCCAGTTTGAAACAAGCCTCTGTTATGTGTTATAGTTTCAAGGTCCAAGTTGGAAGGTGTGTTGAAAAAAACAGCGCCAAAATTACCGTCTCGTAATTTTTTTCCTATTTGCCTGTATTGTTGTAGGTCAGTATCACAGAAATAAGCTCTAGTTTGAGTGGACATCAATAGATATTTCGAAAAACAGTCGATTTGTACTATGCATGAATCCAAATGCATTAAAGAAGTGGAGGGAGATTGAAAAATAGCTTTAGCCTAAAATACAGGGTGAATTTCAGAAAAGAACAAAAAATAATAAAAAATAGCATACCAATAAGTTTGTAGTGTTAGTCAGTGAAATTTTTCCATTATTATCCCCACAAAATAGGTCATCATTATGCCATTTTAGAGCAGTTATTATTTGACCTTCATGTTCAGAATACACATCATAATTTAGATCGAAAATATTTTCTAAAATAACAATTAGACCTTTTGAACTGCTTATTGCAATCTTCTTTTCATTTGGAGATATTAAAATATTTGTGGCGGATCCTTCCTAAAAAAATACACATTAAAAAACTGTTTAAAAAGGTTACCATTGTAGCCTGCGCTCTAGGGTAAAATAATCTTAAAAAACCCAGATAGCCAGGTCCTGGCTGCCAGGACACGGATTATGACAAAACAACAAGCGTTAACGTTAGGCATAATTTATTTTTTCTACTCCTATTACAGAATTTGACCCTTCTAATATCACTTTTATCTATGGAATGACATATATTCCGTAAAGTGTTACAGAATGAAATATTCTATCATCTGATGATAGAATGAATACTCGTGGCGACATCTCTGTTTTTAATATCTAACAAATTTTAGACCGATCCAACCTCACTTTCTTCCAATTAAATTATTTTCCTATGGTATTTTTTGGAAACCTAGAAAAAGTACCTATAGTCTGAAACACGTTTGGAATTGCATATTCCGCTCTCGTGAAACCGTCAAACTCGCCTTCGGCTCGTGTGACAAACTCTTCACTCGAGCGGAATATGCTGTATTCCAAACTTGTTACAGAATATACTATTTCGTTTCAATTAACGACTGTCAGCTTGATGTAGGTAGAGAATGTACAGAGTTGGCAATGTTGCACTTATTTTTAGGTCTGAATAATAAAGATATATATGAAGGAGGATTTACTTGATGTTACATGGGCGAAATGCTTTAAATTTCGATCTGATAACGAAATTCAAGCCAAAGAGGTAAAATGGGCTGTAAGATAAGTAGAAACCACGAATATATGAACGTGACTCATCAGGCACAATCGTACGAAGTAATCTATCGAAGGTCACGGTCCAGTGCAGTGCTTTTCTAACGGGGGCATAAATATTTGTAAAAAATCTTGAGTGTAATGTGGTTGCTATACTTCTGATATATTTGCTTTTAAAGTTAAATTTTAATAATTAACATCTACGATAATTAAATAAAATGTAATTTTCTTAGAAACTAATTAATAAATAAACTTTTCTTTAACTTTAAACGCAAATATTTCAGAATTGGTGACAAAAAACAAAAATGTTTTCGCAGGTCAGGTACAAAGTGAAAGATAATTAAATTGTGTGGATATAAAAACAACTTGCGTTAGTTTCACGAAATTTAATAAATATTGACAATTGTTTCGCTACACAGTAGCTTCTTCAGAATGTATTAAACTTATACTAGTACAAAATTTATATAATAGAAATATTTTTGTATTCTAGCCTAGAATTTCTAGGTAAGGATTTTTATACGACATCTACCTGTGTTACATAATATAAACCACTGCCACTACAACGTTTAAAACGATTATTAATCCGTAAACACACACCGTTTATTTAGTCCTAAAAACGTACAATAACAATTGCAATAAAGTCCAATAAACATGCAATAACAATTGCAATAAAAACCACTAGCACTACAACGTTTAAAACGATTATTAATCCGTAAACACACAGCAGAAACACGATATGCAAAAACAAAGATCATATGACACATAAAAACAAATGGCCGACGGTAGAGTTGGTTGCCTTACTATGTAATAAAATAAAATAAATTGCCTAAAACACGAACTCTACTGAATTCCAAAAAAAATAAGTAACAAGCTAGGACACGCGTCGTATGTCCATCTTTGTCGAACACCTAGGCAGTGTAAAGTGAGATCACATCACATATGGCGCATTTTAGACCGGATGCCACATACTTTGGAAGTATGTGCCGGATGCTTAAAAACCTACGTGTGAGTACATTTACCGCTGCATCGAATGTACAAGTCAAGTAAAACATTACTGCTAGCATGTCTGAGATATGTTCGGCACCCGATGAGTCACGTTCATATATTGGTGGTTTCTACTGTACCTATGTATTATCGATTTCTGTATCAAATGCTTATTTTGAGCAAGTATTTAGTCTTATGAACTTAGTTTGGAGAAATGAGATAAATAAACTAAGCGAGAATGTTCTGAGAAGTGAAATTCAGATAAGACTGAATTTCAACAGGACTTACCTTCAATTTTATAAATTCATAAAAAGCCAAAAAACTGTTGTAAGGGCTTGCGCAAGACAGGAAAAATATAAGTTTAAAAATAAATTTTAATGACTCTATTTTGTTGGATTTCATGTTTTAGTTTAATAAGAATATCGTTTTTTTTGTTACTTTAAAGTACCAATTGGTTTTATTATTTTAAATCGCCACGCCCCTTTTGTCAAAAAAATGTTTACTCCCTATGTCCCGTTTTAGCAAAGTTCATAGTTGGCAACCCTAGGTGGCACCCAGTTGAGAGCAAACAGCTACCAAACCAAGAGAATGAATAGTAGGCAACTGACCGGAAACGTTAACGTTTCCTGACGACGTATTGTGTGCAACCGACGGAAAACCTTTTGGGTATACAGTATATATATACTAAGGCTGGTAACCGTGACCGGTCAACCGGTTTAGTAGGACCAAAACCCGTTAAAGAACGTAACCGGTTTAACCGTGACTGGTTTAACCGTGACCGGTTTAACAGTGACCGGTTTAACTGTCAGCGGTTTAACCGTAACCGGTTTAACCGTAATCGTGACCGATTAAAGCTGTCACCGGTTTAACAGTTACTGATTTAACCGTAACTGAAACCGGTTTAAGCGCGACCGTAAACATAAACAAACGAGTCATAGTTTGAGCTCTTACTAGGGATGCGCAAATTTCTTAAAACATTGATATTGACATCAATAATAATAATAATAATAATAATATTATATTTATTTAGCCTCTGCTATTTAAAAACAAGTATACATTTACATTATTTTAACTTTTTAAATACATATATCACAATTTTTCCATCACAAAATATTTTAACAAGTTTTTAAAATGAATGAAGTTATCACAGTATTTAATTTCAGGTGGTAAATTATTATACAATTGAAATCCTTTAAAAAATATACTTTTGCTATATTTACTGGACGTTGGTTTATCTATATAAATATCTTTGTCTTGCCTTGTTGGATAGTTATGAATATCACAGTTTAATTTTATTTTTTTAGTTAAATATATGGGAGTCATATGGTTTAATATTTTAAAAACAAAGATTAAGGTTCTAAAAGTTATTCTTTGACTAACAGACATAAAATTAAGTACATTTAACATTAAATTTACAGGTGTGTATTTGTTACATTGCAGTATTACTCTCATAACCTTATTTTGTAGAATTTGTAGTCTTTCTTGTTCATTTTTGTTAAGTCCAAAGAGAATTGTAGAGCAATATTCAAAGTGGGGGCTATTAGTGTTTTGTATAATGTTATTTTAATATTTATACTTAATTCTCTTCCAATTCTTCTTAAAAAATATATTTTTTTATTAATCTTGTTTTGTACATACTTAAAATGGCTTAAAAAATTTAACTGTTTGTCAATTATAACTCCCAAGTATTTAATTTCTTCAACTATATCTAATTTTATTCCATTTATTATAATATTAAGGTCTAGATTATTATTAAACTTACTAACTACCATATATTTAGATTTCTGAATATTAATACTTAAACTATTATCACAAAGCCAGGTATAAATTCTCTGAAGATCACTGTTCATTTCTTTTCTCATTTCCTCTAGGTTATTACCAATTATATACAACATGGTATCGTCCGCAAACATAACTATTTTACATTTTAATATTACTTTTGCAATATCATTAATATATAAAATAAACAATATGGCAGCTAATTTAGTTCCTTGAGGAACCCCATGTTCATTTTTAATTTCTTCAGAGGATTTATTTTTAAATTTAACTTTCTGCTTTCTATTCTTTAAAAAGGATTCAAACCAACTTAATGCCACTCCGTTAAAACCAATTTTATTTAATTTTCTTAATAGTAAGTTTATATTAATAGTTTCAAATGCCCTTTTAAAATCCTGAAAAACAGCCAATATATTCAAATTATTGTCTTTATTTATCACAGTAGTTTCACATGAGTGCTTCTTTCTAAAACCGGATTGGTTTTCACAAAATACATTGTTATTTTCACAGTATTCAACCAGTTGTTCTTTTACCACATCTTCCAATATTTTTTCAAAAAGTGAAACAACATTTACTGGTCTAAATTCTTCACATAACATAGTATTAGGCACTTTTGGTACAGGAATTACAACAGAAACTTTTAGTTTTTCCTTTTGATATTGACGTGTTAACAACTTCTAAAAATCTGTGTCCTATTACTTCGAAAGCATCTTTAATTATAGCGGTGGTGACTATATGTTCTATGTCCATTGAGTTTTTTAATGAATAAATAACTTTTCTTAATTTTGACATGGTGATTGGTTTAAATTTATCAATGTTTTTTATAAAATCAACACTGTTTAAAGTATATTCAATATTATTAACTTTTTTTATATTGTTTACAATTTCTTTAATGCTGTCAATGAAATATGTGTTGAATTTCTCGCTTATTATTTGTTCTTCTTTTTCTTCACCATCCCTAAACTTTATCCTTTCTCCACATTTATTATTTTTGTCAGGTAATATTTTATTAAGTTCTTTCCATAGTACTTGAGAGTTCTTTCTGTTAGATTCAATCGTTTCATTAAAATGATTTTCTTTAGCTTTCCTAATCGCTGTTATTATTTTATTTCTTTGTTTTTTATATGCATACCAGTCCTCTGCCATATTAGTATACACTGCTTTTTTAAAATACCTGTTTCTTTCCTTTATTGCTTGTAGTATTTCGTTATTTATCCATTTATTATTTACATATTTATCATTTGTTTTAATGTTTTTTATTGGACATAATTCATCCACCGATAATTTTATGTTTGTTATAAGTGTTTCACTTAACAAATTTAGGTCCCCTATATCATTATCCCACTCTATACTGCTTAAAAAATTTTGAAAAGTTTCTTTGTGGTAGTTTCTCAAACATCTTTTTTTTATAATTGTTTCCTTAAATTTGCTTTTTAATTTTATATCTAATTTAATATTAATTATATTGTGATCTCCAATTTTGGGTGTAAGTAACACTTGGATCTGTAAGTCTTTTTTATTTGTGATAACATAGTCTATTATTGTTTGACTTATTGCAGTTATTCTTGTATAATTTTTCACCATCTGATACAACCCATTTTCATAAATTAAATCCCTTATTTTGTTTGTATAAAAATCATTTTTTCCAAAATCCAAATTAAAATCTCCAGTTATTAAAATTGTTCCATTGTGTTCTAAATTGTTAAAGTAGTTTTCAAAAAATTCTATGAATAAATTGTCATTTGTTTTTGGGGGATGATAAATTGTAGTAAGTAAATAATTATTTCCCATAATATTAAATTCAATAGATATTAACCATAAATAACTTTCAGTTACAACTTTTGTTACTTTATATTTAATTTCTTTTTTTATATATATACTCACCCCACCAGTTCTTGAATTTGTTGTTCTGTTAATTTCTTTGTTATATTAATTAATTTCCAACTCCTTATTGTAAATAAGATCAGTTACATGTGTTTCACTAAGACATAAAATACTTGGCCTGTAGTCCTTTACCAATACATCTATAAACGTTTTATTGTTTATGTATCCTTGACAATTAAAATTCATAATATTTTGTTCTAATTGCTATATATTAAATTTAGTGCTGTTTATTTCTCTTTCGATCATTTTTTTATACGTTGGACAGTTCTTGTCATATGCCGGATGATTTGTGTTTATATTTAAATTTAGTTTATTTACTGCCCATATACAGTTAGCACATTTTTCTTCATTTGCCTCACATTTGTCTGTCATATGTTTTCCTGCACATTTTAAACAGCATATCTCATGTTTACATTTTTCAGCCTTATGATTGAATCCTGCACACTTATAACATCTTCTTACATTATAATATTCATCCATAAAGCATACTCTCCATCCTACCTTAATTTTTTCCATTTTTTCAATATTTTTTGCAACATCTGGTTCCACTTCCATAACAATATTATTGTAATCATTTTTATTTTTTACTGACCATTTCGTTAATATTTTTATTTTTCCTTCACTATTTATTAGTTCGTTTTGTTCAACTATAGATTTAACAATATCCTCATTACTGCTTTTTGCAATGTCATTCTCTATTCCTTTAACTATAGTTAAATAATATATTATTTTTACACTTTTTGTATCTGCCTCTAATACTTTGTAGTTTTCTCCTAACTTTTCTTCCACCTTATTTTTGATTTTTTCTTTTGATTGTGTATCAGAACATTTTATTATTACTGCTCCATTTTTGCTTCCCTTTATATTTTCAATACCTACTGCTAATTTACTGGGATTTATGTTTAATTTTATTTCATTTTTGGTCTCATTAGTTGTTTGTTCAAATGATATATTGAAAACGCAATATCGATGTCATATCGAACTGAAAAAATCAATATTGATAAACATTAATGTTTTTAAAACTTTTAAAAGTTGGTAAAACAAAAGTATTTTTATTAAAAAAATACAAACAAATATAAACATTCAAAGAGAAATAAGAAAATCTATAGTTTTTTCATGTTTTCCAGTGCAGCAACATAGTTTCGGCGAAAAGAAACTGCTTGCTACCGGAAAATGCTGATAAATTGATTTTTTTACATCAAAACTCAATAATAAAAAAATAGGAAGTTTTGTTATTATTTTTCATATTTTTTTCATATCACTTAACTATAATTTATTTTGAAACTTGAATAATGTTTATGTTTTTGTTTAGATTTTAGTAAGATTGGTGGTAATTTTATTATTCTAATTTCATTTTTATTGAGTACTTAAGTATCTATTTAAAAAATTTAAGCACGGTTGTCACAGGTAAAGAAAGGTGAAAGGGTTAGTGAAGTGATCCCTTTTTATTAAAAATAAAGAATTTGCTACGATTAAACCTGTGACGGCTCCAGTTAAACCAGTTACGGATAAACCGGTGACGGATTTAACTGGTCACGGTTACGGTTAAGCCGCCGATCCGGTCTAACCGGTCCGGATCGACCGGCTCGGTTTGATCAGATCGGTTAACCAGATAATCGGACTCATTAACCGGTTAATAGGACCGGTTAACCGGATATCCGAACCGGTTATAATAATTTAAAAAATCCGGTTAAAACCGAAACCGGTCAAAACTTGCCGAACCGGTTAACCGTTTATTACTTCAGGAAATGACAGCCTTAGTATATACCGTATACTTATTGTGGGCAACACATAGGACATCATTTACCTATTTGAAGTTAGAATTTTGTTGCAATTTGCCGACAACGGAAAACAAAATAAATAAAAAGACTTTGAGAACCACACTGGCCCAACCCACAAAATGTAATATTGGAGTACCATTTTGTGTAAGCTCCATGGTTATAATATAGATTGTTCATGTGACAGCATGGCCGTAGCCAGGGAGGGCGCGCGAATTAGGACGCGGCCCTGACAGGCAAAACTTTTGCCCTGGCAGAGAGTCCTAAACTAATTTAAAATATAATAAAATTATCTATCTAGAAGCCTCAAATAATTTCTATATTATTTCTGGTCACCTAGCTGAAACCAATAATTATTTATTAAAGTGTTAAATTTGGTGCGATACTAACCAGAATTATTTGTTTAAAACTACACATTTATTTTCCTGCAATGGCGACTGTTTGTAAACATGTCTGCTTTTTAAGAAGGGAATCCTATGCAAAACGTGGGAATCACTTAAGCATGTAGCAAGATCGTGGCAATGACTACCGCAATTATATAACCAAGTTTTTCCACCTTCCAGGTTTGGGAAAAGTTCCGAAAACGTTCCCAAAACCGGTATACCCACTTAACTACTACTACCACTTCCAAGTAATACTTAAAAATATTTTATAAAACTGCAATATATGAAGCATTTCACGTTAAGTTTTTTTGAAATGCAATCTCTAGCAGGCCTATTCAGGGTTGCGAAATAATCTTAGAATATGGAATTTTGTAGCTGTGGCACTTGAAAAACGGATTTAAGGTGTTAAGTTTTACAAAATTTAATATCTCCAAAACTAAAGATGTTTTAGGTCATGTTTTGTTATTTTGATTAGTCATAAGCAGGCCTATTAGCCCTCCAAAGTAAGGAAGGATATTGTTGCCTTTTGGAAAATCCTGTATTTTTAAACCCTTAATGTAAAAATATTTGACAAAAAGATTTTTATTTTTTATAGGTACTTAAAATGACCCCCTAAGGCATGGTATACCATTAGTGGGCCATTTTTGGGACACCCTGTATAAGGTACCTTTTATAGTTTTTGAAACAAAACCATACAAGTTTTAAAATTGTCATCCTGTATAGTCGCCGCGGCGAATGTTTTCCTTTCCGTAATCAATTTTAAATGTCAAAAACCGGTTTGTTGACATACGTCCCGCATACATCCCAGATACAAAGAAAACAACAGTAACAGTAATGTCTGTGCTTGGTTCACAAATTGATAATGCAATGGAAAAAAATTGGCCACAGCAACTATATATAGGTAATGTTATTTATAGACAATAACAGGTTTTTCACTAAATTCATTATTGTACTAAATCATAAATAAATTATGCAAATACACAAGAAATGTGTTATGTTGTTTGTAATTTCTATAGCCTATAACTGTTAATAAAATTCCGTAAATGCTTGTGTAATATTACCTTGCTGGGAATGAGTTTAATAAATTCGCAAGGTTCTCTTGTAAAAATGTAGATTCCTCCGCTGCTTGCCCCAAATACAATATAATTGTTGGAAACATCAAAACAAGTCAGCTAAAATTGTATGCAAATTAATCAATAATGAATTAATTAGTCCATTTATCTAGTTTTACCTTAATACGTTGCATAGACTGGAAGGTCTGGGCAAGAACATTGCTAACTGAACTTATGTATTCGACTAATACATACTTTTCTGGCATGATTTGAAAACTTATTAAACTGGCATTGTGGAGAGGTTATGTTTTTATTTTGGAAATGACAGTTGTCAACTTCGGAAATATTTTTAAATGCATCCAAATTTACAGTCGTAAAATTTAACCAAATTAGGATAAAACAAAGAAAAGACATACAAAATCCCTCACTCCAGAAAGAGACATCACCATAACAGGTTTTAGTTATTTTATTATGAAATTGGTAAGCCTGCTATTTTAGAAAGTGCAATGGACGAATAGAAATTTTTAGTCAAAGCTATTGTGTGAATAGTTAATTATTATTTGAAGAACTGTTTATTTTTTTTATTTAAAGTCGAGTGATTAATGCTCCAGCCAAAGTAGTTATAGTGAATGACCCTCGTTTGTTAATTAATTTAATTTAATTTTTTGCAGCAATGGATCTGACAACTGGTTTGCAACAAATTCAAGATAAATTCAATGCTATTAAAAGAATCAGTGGACAGTATTTAATACAAGAGGATATTCTTGATAGTATTATTGATGTTAGTCAGATGCAATTTGACAACGATGAAACTTGGTGAGTTCGTAAAAGATGGCACATTTTTTTTAATATCACAGTTTTTAATATCATTTATGCCTCAAAAGAAAGACCAACCGGTTCTAAACATAAATAAATAAGGGTAAAATTTTAGGATGGTAAATTTGCATATTAAATTATTGAATCTTTACGTTAATAAAGTAAAAGAGCCATGCAATATTATTTTATATTTTCTTAAGAGCAAATACAGTATTTAAAGAAGTTTTTGAATTTATTATTTTTGTAACATGCAAATGTGCCATTTTTTTTACTATGTTTCTAACGAAAAATCTCAACAAAAAAAGGCACATACCCCCTTTGGTATTTCTATGCCTCAATTATAAAATAGTATTAAATATTATATTGAATAGCCCACTTTACAACTCTTATAGATGCGTACCTAATGTAATAATATAATTGTAATATGTAACTTATTATTCTTTTAATTATTACTCCAATACATTAGAGGTGTCTCATTGTAAACTAGTTTTTTGGACAAATAAAGTATTATTACCTATATATTACCCATATTATGTCCATTTTGTTAATTATAACAGTAAAACAAAATGTTACAGTATATTAAACTTGATACCTAATTTTAGGTATTATCTCCAACCAGGCATTACATATTTTTGTGTGATATTTATATAGTTACCTAGTTAATAGTCAGTAACAATTTATTTCATTTTATTATTTGTTTAATCATTGACCAAAATATACCATGATATCAGTATTTATTTATGTTTAATTAGGTTGAAATAAGAGCAAATTTTGGAATAAATTAAATGATATTTAATAATATAAAATTATGTAGGATTTTTTTATTAACAATATTTCAAGGTTATTTTAATTATTCAACATGTTTCAAAATATTAGTTAACATGTTTATAAATTATACAATTTTGAATTTTATATGAAGACATTTCTTCATACACTAAGAAGTATTTTTTATGAAAATCATAGTATTATAAAGGCATAATAAAAATTGTGGAAATTTTAAGTTTGATTAACTTTTTAAGCGAAAAAAATGCATCCTCGACGAATTTTAATGCATTGAAAAAAATAAATATTTGTTGTTAACAACAAATATTTCCTTTTCTCAGTGCAGTAAAATAACAAGGCCATTAACTATTAACATATTATGGTTAACTTAGATATGGCACAATAAATATTAATTTATGTCTGTGGTTAAGTTACATAAATGTAAGGAATAGATAAGGTATTAGCAAATCTAGATCAGATCTCCACTCAAACTTTTGGGAATAATTACAATTATTATTTTGTATTTTTATGAACTGTACAACCTATTGACTGCAATTAATTTTTGGGGTACAGGTCATTTTTTGCTCTTCAGCTTATTTTTTCAGAGCCAGCTTGTTAAAACAAAAGAAAAGTCAGTCAATAGGCACCACAGTGTTTGTCTGTACTAGGGACGAATTAGCAATGCAGCCAGACATATACAGGGTGGTGCGAATTTTATTTCCCACTATTGGCATTTCATGAACTGTAAGGAGTTGGTTAAATTACAAAAAAGTTGCGCTACTTTATGACCATTTTAAATATGTCAAGAAATCTAGGATACTTTCGACTGATTCCAAAATATCCTAAAAAAACTGAAAATCCTCTTTAACTTTTTTTTATTGCAGCTATCAATTCGCAACTTGACATTTTGACATTGTCTGTAATGACACGTCTGATGGAATCATTTGTTTTTTCTACGCCCACTAGTTTTTGAGATATCATCACCAACTTTGATTTTTCTTATGGGCGTCATATTGGATTTTTTGTTCAAAAAATAGGAAACATTTTTCTCTTCACAACGATGTAACACGCTTGTTTCTTTTTTGTTTTATTATTATTAAAAAAATATAAATTATCTTGCTTTTTCACATACCCAAGTCATATTTATTTTGTCACTACAGTAGAGTTTTGTAGTTGCCGCGGCGAATGTTTTTCGTTGCGTCATCAATGTCAAATAAATGTCGGTTTGTCGACATACGCCCGGCATACATTCCACATACGCCGCGGCGACCATACAAAGAAAAAACTAATTGTAATGTCTGTCTCTTGGTTCACAAATTGAAACGGAAAACATTCGCCGCGGCGCGCAGTGTATTGCTTCCATGTTCTAGAAAATATTAAATAAATTATTTTATATCGTTGAAATTTCAAAAAACCTACGAAATTATTTTCACAAATAATTGATAAGGAAGAAATATCAACGGAACAAAAGGGAAAAAAAATCTATGGCGTGTCGCGATTTGATTTGAAGGAATATCAAGCGCGGTAATATTTAAGAATTTTCATTTGAATGTTAACGTTTAAATTGTTGGTGTTTTGTGGTTTGTTCCAAAATTGTTACAAGAATATTTTTTACTTCTTCAATTTTTCCGATTATAATAAATTAGGTCTGAGTATTTCATATTAAATTAAGTAAATCATATTAAATTAGGTCTGAGTATTTCATATTTGATGTAAAATTAAAATAAATTTTAGCAATTTAATATCTTCATTAAACGCGGAGACTCGGTATCCGCGGGTAACCGCTTTTATTTTTATTTTAGTTTATTTGCTACTCTTCTTAGACCTTATTTAACATAATTTTAGCTGCAGGAAAGTGCAGGCTTTTAGTCAATTTTTTGCGCAAAAAATACAGTCGTAAATTTTGCAAAATTAAAAATTGTTAAATATTTTTTTTAAGGTTTATTATGAAGAGCTTGTAAGTGGAAACCAAAAAGACAAATAAAGTTTTTTTATGTGAGTTGTTGTTACTAAGATATTTGTTATTAATAAAAATAAATAATAAAATCAATTTAGGTTCTAACATTTTGTGATTATGAATCAAGGTTGTTGCTTTTAACTGACATGTCTACAATGTCTACAATTATTTGTTAAAATTTAAAAACTAATATTTTAAATTTTCAATATCAAATATCTTAGTACCTATCAAAAACTACTATGAAAAAACTACCAGCGCATTTTTTATTTTGAAAATCTGTATTTTTGCTCACCCTGTACAACAAAATGAATGTTTCTCAACAAGCAAAAGAAATTATAAACATTACTTTTCCTCGAAAAATTGAAAATAAATATTTTTACAAGTATAGTTACTTAAGTCCATCCACAGACAAACTGTTTATAGATATAAAGATATAAATAACTAAGCTTGATAAAAATTTAAAAAAACATATTAAAAACAAAACAAAAATTACACAAATAATATATTTATAAAGTTAAATTACTACCTAATTGTAAAATAATTTAAATTTAAAAAAATATATTAAAAACAAAAAATTAAGGGAAAAAATTACACAAATAATATATTTAAGATATTAATGTACTAATTGTTAAGTAAATATATTAAACAAAAATAATTTTACCACCCTTGATTTTGTATCAGCTAGATTGGCAAAAATCACACTGCGCGGCGCCTAGTTCGAAAGAGCGCTCTTATAGACGAACTACGCGAATTAGATCTCAGCTCCGTCCGGTTTTAGTTAGTTCGTTCTTTAAAGTTTATAATTTTGACGATGCATCGCGGAGTTCGGTTGTGTTGGTGCTAGTCTGCGGATCGCTCAATGAAAAGTATGAAATATAGATGACTTTTCGACCTAGTAGGGACAAAATTGGATTCCGGGTATAGAAATATACCTGTATTTTTGGACAATATCGCAAGCTTTCAACTTTTAGCGAGGTATTTTGTGATTTGTACACAATATTTAGTGGATGTTCCAAGATTGGATGTTAAAACTTGTTGCTGGTCAAAATGGTACATTGAAACCGAGACCATTAAGGCTTTTTGCCACGGAAAAAGAATTTCTTATGTTTCTGGTAACATTTTTACCAAAGTTTTTTGTCATTACAGATTTCTGTAATTAACCACCTGACTGACGTTTTTGTACTGCAAAACTAAGTTTGTAGATTATGTAGAACGATTTTTGCATAGAAATAATACTATTTCTATTTATATATCGACCCATGCAACGAAGACTATAGTAACTCAAAAGACGTGGGTTTTGATTTTTTCAAGCTCTATTTGGTGGAAGATTACAGTAACTCAGACATGAAACGATAGGCAACCAATGAACAACTTCCCTGTATAGTAAGTGTAATAATCCAAATTCCTACAGGCGAAAACTATATTAAGTTGAGTTACTCTAGTCTGCAATCAAAACTGAGTTACAATAGTCTTCGTTGCATGGGTCGATATGAGTTAGCTTTGTTATAATTTGGTATAAAGGGTTAACCCTTTATAGGGTACGGCGGGCTATAATTCCCACCAAATTTTTAGCTTAGTGCGCATTGCATTACTTATCATCTATTAAATGCGTATATCATGTTTCAGCGCTCTATTCCTCTTGTGCCATGCGTGGGAGTTGTTTATGTCGCAAAGGGGGAAACAAATATCCGAGTAAACGTTCTCAATTTGTTTGTTTTCAATTTTATGCTTTACATATGTGTTTTTGAGAATTCTAGAAATAATTTAGGTAAACGTAAAGTCCTGATATAGTAGTATCTATAATATAGATTCTATATTCAATGCATTAAAAAATATCGACGAATATAGGATAATTTTTTAATTTTTTTAAATTGAAATTATATTTTTTTAGAAAACCTCTTTTTTAAACTTGAAAAAAATATATTAAAACCATTTTTTTGTTACATTTTTTAAATTTACGTTATAAAATACGTATACGAAAGGACAGTAAAATAAATTAACAATTTTAGGCAAAGATGTTCTGTGTACTACTCTAAATTTTTAATAATTTGCAACATAAAGTAGGTATATATTTACATATTTTTTTAAAATAAAAAGCTTTTTTTGTATAGTTATGACGGCCAATGGGGAAATTTTTCCAAAAATGTATTATGTATTCTTTATTTAGATGTAAAACATGTGCAGATGGCGCCTCCACAACTTACTCACTCATAATGTCAAAGTGAACTCACATGCATGCGTCTATGATATCATCACTGAGTCAGCATTGATATCATAATGATGACATTAGGTATAAATTCAGAATTGTTCCGGGGTACCTTTATATTTTAATTTGATTTAGAACAAATTTTCTGATATTTTTGTGGGCCAAAGCTGTCTGGTCCTAATTGTTAAACTAAATAATGGTTTTCCATTTACTACTAGAAAAATATTACAAAATAATGATTTTGAGGTCTCTTTTTTACCCTGGCTTATTAGTTTTCCTAATTGATATCTTTGATTGATATTTTCTGAACTTCTGCAGTTAATTTCTAAGTTGGAAAAATATTATCCCAATGCACTTAAGAAAAAACAATTTAATAAAGGGTCCTTTGGGACAATAATTTCCCACCCGAAAAAAAGGCCTTTTACCAAAAATTTTGAATTTTTCATATTTACAGTAGCTTAAGTAAACCAAAAAAACATTTTCTTCAAATTTCATTTAGCTAAGAAGGAAATTGCCTTTTGCCCTAAATGCTTTTTAGTACAATTCCTTCTTCAGTACCGGCCCGGCAGATTATTGTCAGGAACTAACTCAGCACTCTGGAGCCGATGAATATTAATAGGTGAAATAGGTGTGAAGGATGGGGTAGAAATAGGTAATACGATTCTTGGGATAGCCGCCATAATGTATTTAGTATGACGTCACTTACCCTATCATTTTCTATTTATCAAACCCTTTTATTTGACACCCATGTCAAGGAGGTCGACAACAAATTGGCAATCCGCTATCTTGGGGCCGCCGCTATACGTAAAAGAAAACAACAATTGTAATGTCTGTGCTTGGTTCAGAAATTGATGACGCAATGTCAAACATTCGCCAATTGGACTACTAAGCCTGAAAATAGTTATGTTAAGGTTATTTAATAACCTAAACATAACTATTTCATGGCTGTAAACAAGAGCATGAGAAGTTTAAATTGGGGAATATTTAAATACACTCAACACCATACTTAAAGTGTTAAATCGGCAACAAAGCTCGAAAAACTCCGGTTCGTTATTGTTGCTATTCAGACAGATTGTAAAAATAATTTTTATTAACACAATGGGTATTTTAATCATTGTTATTTAAAAATATAATATATTTTTTAAACTCTGAAATGTATCCGTATGATAACTTGAATTTTAAGTTTAAAGGAAAAAAAATATTCTTTATTGTATAAAATGAATTCAAACTTTTATACCTATTTTAAAAGAAATTAAACCTCTTAATAAGAAGTAAGTCTTTTTGTGTTGCGCTAAAAGTTTGAACAATTGGGCAAAGCACAAAAAGTTATACGCTTAAAGATAAACTAATTTATTTGTTGAGTATGCTTTTTATCAAACATTAACGAGCATTTAAAAAAGTGTGTTTAAATAAATTATAAAAATGTGTTGAAATAAATTATCGAACTATGCAAACTTGTTTAAAATCCAATCTCAGAAAGTTTTGTTGACTTATAATATACATTTTTTTCACTGTTGGGTAATTTTTTAAACGATTGCCTGTTGCACCATTTAAAAATATACCAATTTGCTTTTTAACGGATTAAAATTTTTATTAGACTTCCTTTCAGTTCGGCACTTACTCAAATTTAATAATGATGTTTTTTTTTAATCACCCTAATATTCAACTTTTCTCTCTCGATTTTTTGAAACCATTTAATATATACACTTTTAAAAATCATAATATAAATATTATTTTAGGTTGTATTCTTGCAACAATGCACCCACAAAAGAAATCACAAACCTGTCAGAATGGATGTACAACAATTCATCAAGCAAGCAATCTCAGCACCACGAATCGAAGTCGTTGTTCTCAAAAAGCGACAATCAACGCAACATAGACACGCGCACGTTCACACGTCCAAAAAAAAAATTTACCCGTCCCAGCATCGAAAAATACAACCAAGAACTCTACGGAATCGGCGACAGCCTTGAAACTGTGGATAGCTGCGCAGAGGGCGCAACGCAACCTCTACACTTCGATCTGGCGCAGCCTACTAGCAGCTATTACTTCGAGAACATTGTGGCGAAGGCGAACAATGAAGAGAAGACGTTTCAGAACATGTCGCCGCCCTCATTAGTAAACTCAATATGCTCATCCACCTTTGCCAACTTGATGGAAAGCAGCTTTATAAAAAACGATCCGGTTTTGAGGGAGATCAGGGATAAAGATTACACTGATTCGATTTTGTTACAAGATTTGGAACCACCTATGTTTCAGTCAATTACGGATAGTTTCAGTAGCGTTAATTCGGATACGCCGGAAAGTTTTTTGAAAAAGCATTCCTTTAATGCATCCAAAAGGGAGAATAGAAGCGGGGGTGAGAAAATTAATACGACGTTCGATTTAAACGCTGGAGAGAATAATAACACTTATGTTAATGTTTCTGGTGAGTAAAATTGGTATTTTTAATACAAATATAATATTTGTATAACATTTCTTTAAATAAGAAAATATTGTGTAAACCAGAATTTGGTATTTTGGTTAAAATACTCATTTGAAATTCTAGGGATGTTTGTCCCATTGTCCATTGTCCAAAAAAGCTTTCTAAGGGGTTAAACTTGGTTTATGTGTTAAATTTTTGTATGTAAAGTATTTTTGTTAATTAATATTTTTCGAAAACTTCTATTAAAAAGTTGACTTAAAAGTTATATATTAAGTGTAAAAACAACAGTTTTTTATCTAAAGAACGTTGCTATCGTTAAATATTAAAATATGCAGCAAATTGTAGATGACACACATGTCAAACAAAATTTTTCCTTCATATTTTTAGTAATTTTTAAAGCGATAGTTTTCGAAAAAAAAATTTTGCATTCTTGAATGATTTTTTTGTTCGCTATTGCTCAAATAAAAACCTTGCTGCAAAAGTAGCATTTCGCAATCTAGCATCAAAAATACCTATTTTCAAAAACTTATTAAAAGTTTACTTTTTTATAAAAATTATTAAGTGTCAAAACATCAGTTTTTTGTCTACAGAACGTAAAAGTATCGTTGCTATGGACGTATTAGTTATTTACGTGTCAAGCTTTGTAAATGAATCTTTACGGGCGAGTTGGAAGTTTGTGGGGTGAGCGACGCAGGAGCAAACCCCATAATCCAGTGAGCCTAGTGAAGATTAATTGCAAAGCGTGACACGTACAAACTTTTATTTTTACCTTTGGATAACGATTTTCAAATTTAAAATTTCAATTAATGTGTCAAATATGTCATTTCATTTCATAAATTGCTTTTCTACAAGCCTGTAAAACTTTACAGGTCTTTTATACAAGCCCGTAAAATATTACAGGACTGTTCCCATAATGTATCGTTTACTTGGATACAAAAACAACAAAATTATCCTTTAAAATGTCATTTACTAAGAAGGTGGAAATAATAGTTATTTATGTAATTAGGCCAATACATTTAAAAATTTATCTTTTTGTTATTGGTCAATCGGCGCTAAATCTTTGGAAGCCATGCCTTTTATCACAGTTTGATTAATATACTGATCCTTCAATTACAATACAAGCTGTACATAGATTTTCAAAATTAATCACGCTAGAGGAAAAGTTTGATTTTGAATGAATTTTTTAAAATTCTGACAACTTTAATAAAAATCAGTTTAATTTCTTTAACACAGGTCGTGTTGGAAGAATTTATGAAAAAAATCATACATTTTAGTTTTTTTTAAATTCTGCTTTTTTCAGTTTGATTTCTTTTACACAGATAGTGTAAAAAAAATCAAACTGAAAATAACAAAACTAGATCTAATGGATACAATTAAATTTACCTAGGTAAATTTATTCGAGAATAGTTGTATAGCGACGCTCACAGCTAGCTTGTAAGTGAAGGTACGGTATGCATATTGTTCACGTGCTCTTCGCGTGTAGTGGTGATTTGGTAAAATGAATGTACTATAGGTATATCCTGTTGAGCGCGTTCCAATTTGGAACTTCCACATGAATATATTATTGAAAGTATTTTAATTAAGAAACATATTTTGTGTTTGGGACATCTCCAAAATAATTGTCATTCTTTTTCGTTTTTCTTAGCGTTGTTTTCGTGATTGACCACAGTTGCTTTTACTTTTTCAACTATTTGACGGAACAGCTATCTTTTTAAATTTACTTAGGAAGAAACTCATGTTTTAAATTTCGTTCATAATCATCTATTCATCAACAAAGTGCTTTGCACAAACGTCTTGATTAACATTAAACTTATCTTCGCGTTTACACAGAAACTTCCACTTTGTCGCCGCCCTCATCCGTCAATTCCTTGTGCTCTTTGACCTTCACCAACTTGATGGAGAGCAGCTTTATCAAAAACGATCCTGTTTTGAAGGAGATTAGGGATAAAGATTACATAGATTCGGTTTTGTTGCAAAATTTGGAGCCGCCTATGTTTCAGTCGTTTACCGATAGTTTTAGTAGCCTTAACTCGGATTCGCCTGAGAGTTTTCTGAAGAAGCATTCGTTTAATGCGTCCAAAAGAGAGAATAGCAATGACATCGAGAAAATTAACACGACGTTTGAATTGAACGCTGAAGAGAATAATAACAGTTTTGTTAATGTTGTTGGTGAGTAAAATTGGTAGTTTTAGTGCAGAAACAATATTTTATGCTTTAACACTATTCTAAATTAGATGGTATTTTAGCAATAATAGTAATAATAGTATTAAAACTGTATTTAATTGGTAATATTGGTATTTATACAGGGTGTTTACGGTCCTGTGATTTTATTTTTAATGGATGATTTTAAACACCTAAAGGTTAATAACGCTAAAACGCCTTAAAACATGGTTAACTTAAAACAACACAAAAAATTAACGAACATTGTTGTTAATTTTTTAAAATTAAATTTTGTCTTTGTTTGCTATAAAAACGGCTTCCGCATCGCTTGAAGCAATATCCGTTCATGATTTACGCTTGAACACATCAGATTTCGCTACATGGTCGTTTTTGAAAATCGAAAAAAAACACGTTTTTTATTATTTAACTTGTATTAAGACCGTTTAGCGTTAATTCCATTTTTAAGGTTTTAAAGAGTAATAAAATTGAATCATTAAAATAAAGGTTGTTGACAAAGAGGAAAGTTTGAATGTACACAAAAATTTTTTACTTTTTTTATCTTAAAAATAAGGAAAATATAAGGAATATAAGCGAATTTCTATCGCTTTGTATCTAAAACTAATCTATTTATGACAACAAATCCCTATTAAAAATGTCGCAACATTTTGTAACATTAATGGGACTATACTCCACACCCAAAATGCCACAATAAAGAGATATATTATAAATTAATATATATTTTTACGATTACATGTTATGTTTTTTTTCTTAAATTGGGAACTTTATACGGGTATATTTCAAAAAGTTGGCTACTTGCTGTCCTGAGGTTAGATGTTTTCGTATCTAAAATGAAATGTGAAGAATAGATCTGATCTTAAATTATGTACAAAATCTCCCAATAAGGTATAAAAAATGAATTAAAATTACCTTGAAATATAGTAAATGTCCAATCCGTGACTTTCCCCAGCAAAGCTTTATGAACTTTACTGACTGCTGAAAATATATTGTTTCTGCAGTCATAAGTATAATATTTTTTATTTAATTTGTAGAAGTGTATTATTAACTGATTTGTACTCCCACCTTTAAAACGCCCACCTTTAAAACGCCCATTATCGTACATGTTTCCATGATACTAAGTGACCTTTTAAATACACATTGACAGGCTTTATGGCGTTTTAGTCACGGGCTGAAGTAAGTTTTAAGTTAGTTGGCAGTTGTCAAATGTCCTACAATCCTTAAAATAAAGTGCCTTTCTTGTAAAATAATACTAAATGTAAAAATTATTTTATTATCTCAATACAAAAATACAAAAGTATTAAATAGTTTCTCAACGCCAATATTTGAAAAGTTTATATTAACATTGTACTGACCTTTTAATTTCGCCGGCAGTAAACTATAACCATTGTAAAGTGCTCATAAAACATTTTCTTTACTTTCACTGTGAAAACTTTCAATTTTCAAGAAATACATTTCGATTTATAATCTTTATAATCTGTGTTTATAAAATAAAAAAATGTGACATTTGACGGTGACATACAGATTCCCCTATTGTTTCATAGATGGCGCTCTATACAAATTTTTGATTTAAATCATTTTAAGATAGTAATAAGTATTTGTCGTAGAAAAAGTATAGTATGCACCTCGTTTATAAACTTTTCTATACACTCATTAATTTAAGCACTCGCTCGCAAGCTCGCTCGTGCCTAAATTAAGTTCGTGTATAAAATGGCGTTTATCAAACTTGATACATAATATACAATTATGTTTATAGGTGTAAATAAGAAATAATTAATTAATATATGAGTGCGTATATTTATTAGTAGTCTTTTCTGTGACACTTGCTAGAGTATTAATTTCTTTAGATGTAAACCATTCTGAGTAGTTTATCCTAAAGCTTAAGATCGCGAAACAAGTGTTTGCGTCAAACATACAAATTGAACACACAGAATGAAGATGAAATCGTTAAAGGAAATTTTCAAATTAATCTTATAAAAGAAGAAGAGACTGATATTTTAAATGTAAAACAGTAGAAAATAATCATTGAAGAAAGGATAATAAAAAATGTAAATAAAAAAATTAAATTAATATTTGAAATTTTGGCGTCACGGAAAAGACAACATTTTTCCTACAATGAAAATTCTTAAAAAAATACAATCTAGTTAGTATCATGTATGACAAGCATACAATATTCAATACTTGATTAATTTTCTATAAAAATAATATGTAACTTATCTAATTTATAATAATTATATTTTTTTTAATAAAATTCCTATTTTGGCAAAAAAAACCGTAATTTTTATACAATAAGACGGAATTGGCCCTAAACTGACAGATGCATAACCTCAATTAGGGATCTGCGTTACTTAATGTCAAAGTGGGCCTTTTTGGTGTGGAGCGTAGTACATGAAGTAATATATTTTACTAAACCACTCTTTTATTTACAGACAACAAATCAACAGAACGTGTACTTCAAACTACATATCAACAACAACAATCTATACTATCCAACGAACGCCAGAAAGAGCGATCTTCGGACAGCAGCTACGGCGCTACCTACCGGCGCGTAAAGCACAGCCACACTTTCCGCAAGTCGGACCTGCGAAGCGACACGCTGAACGCCACCTACCAGATGTCGCCGAACGACGTTGTGCTCGTGCAAGACGATGCCGATGCGGACGTGCTGAGCGCTACGCAAACCGTTATAGCGGGCGACGTCACCGTTACCAAGGAGAACAGCGAGATTCTGCGCAGGCAGCTGAACGGCACCTTGAGGCAAATCAACGACATGAACAAGTTCGGCTATAAGGATCAGGGAAGGGAAGACGGATACGGGGAGGAGAACCTCGATGGATACTTGAAGAGGAACTCGATCGGGTCGGCTGATAGTTTGGATAGGATGAGCAGCTTGTCGAATAGCAGCCGAGGGTCCAATAAAATGCTGAATATGGCCGATGTGGACGCTATAGTGGAGAGGCAGGAAAAAAGTAAGTATTTCATTATAATTTTTAAATAAAAATTGCCATAAAATAATTAAATTTTTTAATTTGAAATGATTCAGAAAAAAAACATGAATTAATCCACTTCCACATGTGCACTTTTATGATGGCTAAATGCTGTATTGGTTTAATACATTAATAATAATTTCTAAGTAAAATTTTCCGCGACGATAATAATTTTTTTCGACATTCCGAAGTTGGCGTGACGAAAGTGCTTTGAGGCAATGTAGTACATTAAAAAAAAAGTGGCAAAGGGTCAAAAACGGGTGAAAAGTCAGCCAAAATTGATTAAACGTCCTAGTGTCGCAAATCCACAGAATGCACTTACATGCTATTCCTACAGTATTTTTCTGTAGTTTTGCGGTCAAAAATTGTTTTTAAAATAAGGAAAGAAACCTTAACTAAAAGGATAGACTATTTGGGTGCCGTTTTTAGATTTTTTTAAATTCAAATGGTGAAAAAACGTTTTTACACTTTTTTATATAAATTTACTCGATGATGGCCATCAAAATTAGTTTAGGGGCTCAATTAGCGTAAAGATATTCCGAGTTTTTTCTATGTTTTTAAGGATTAACTTAGGGAAAGAACAATTTATTATTATCATTTCCGACGCATTTTGGTATTTTTACTGCAAACAGAAATGGTGCACTACGTTGCCCATCAAATATAAAACAGTCAAAAAAAGTACCTTCGGTTTTTTGGTCGTAGCTTAGCGCCATTTACTGCTATACAAAAAGAGCACAGCAAAAATGTAGCAAGGTAAATTACACAGCCCACAATAAAAAGAAAAGTAGGATATCTGACAGACAAGAGTAGTCCCATTTTGTATCGCTCAATCCGAATCCGTGGTCGGAATTCTGCCATTACCCTCAGCTTTTTTCTAAAAAAAACCTCAAAATATGTTAGGAAGAAAACAAAAGCAAATTACAAAATTCCGACCTCGGATTCAGATTCAGCGACACAAAATGCATAGGATGACTACTCTAATTCGTCGGACATCCTACTTTTTTACAGAACAGTAAAAACTTTACAGTACTATAGTACATATATGTACAATACCGTAGATCCTTTTACAAGGTGTATTATCATAATTTACATATTTTTTTTCTTTTAGTTTTAAAATAGAAAGAAACAATCAAACAAATACTATATTTTGTTTTGTATATTTTAGGCTAAAGTAATAAAAAATCACTGTCCAAAATTGTTGTTTAATATGAGGTTTCCACATTAAAACATTACTCTTTTTAGGCTTGCAATGTACAGTATCGACTCCCAAACCAGGAGCGGCCACAAAAAAATGGAACCCAAATTTCATATCGCCCATTGTGCCCATTGTCCCCATGTCCGATTCGGATGGCTATTCGTCCAACGAGGAGTACAAGAGCGCCAAATCGACATCGTCGAAAACCTCCATGGAGAACCAAAATCAGCTCAAGTCAATTAAAAGTCTGAATTTCGCGAACGTTAAAGTCGACGCGAAAAACCGAAAACCCCTGCCCAAAAACATTTTTACAGCTCCTAGTGCACCAAAAATGCCACAAGCTTTAAGAGGTAAGTGCTTTCTTGTGTGGTATCCCCACTTTTTTTAGTTTTCATGAATAGATTGCAAAAAATCCATTCCACTCTTAACTTTTTTTCATCAGTTAGCTGGGTTTCCCAAAATTATTCGTTGTTATACTTGTTTATTAATCTGACATATTAGTTATTTTTGTATTAAATTATTGAAGTTATTATTCAAATATAAAAAAAATAAACAAACAAATACCAATATCAAAATTTAAACGCATACAAAATGTAATAGAATGTAACTTTATTTATGCCAAATGACGTTATTTAAGATTGACACTTTTCACGTGTAAAAAAAATTACAGGGAAACTGCCCTAGCCCGAATTATTCAGTACGTCGAATTTTTTTGCTGGTTCCTTCAGATACGCATTTAAGAGGTCTTTAAAGAACAAAATAGACGTGGTTTGGTTGTTGAATAATTTTCCAAAAATAGTGCTGTTTAACATTAAATGTTAAATTTTATAAATCGCTTCACCAAGCTTACTCTGTGAAAAGTAAGTAGTGCATACTTTACGCAGAGTGGGCCATAGGACGACCTGTGCCACTTCTAAAATAAATAAATAAAGTTTTTATTGGATATTCAGTACAATACAGAACATATAATACAAAATATACAAAAGGCCATCAACCGGGGTCCTTCAGCCTAACACTACTAAAATTCCAAGCTGACGCGCCTTTGTTCATGTAAGCCAAACGTTTCCATGGCTAATAATTTTGCCTTAGTAAGGAATCCTTACTTAGCAGCTCAAGGCATACCAACTTTATAGGGTAATAAATTGTGCTACAGAGGCAAGAGGTATGTATGGGTTGTCTAAAAAAAATCTAATGTTTTTTTACCTTTGACACTGAAAAATTGGTTCTCAGGCACCTCTAGAAAGTGCTCACCAAATTTGAGCTCTTAATATTAATAGGAAGATCCTCCTCATTACAGTTTTCCATTTTTTCGTGAGTCCCATATAAAAAGACCATATTTCTTTATTAATCAATCGTTTAATTAAATTTTTATACATATTATTGTAGGAAATTAAATGCTCTACAAAAAAGGACTGATGTTTTTAAGCGATTACTCTAACCATTTAAAAGATATTCGAGATTAAAGTTTAAAGAATTTATTAATTTTTTTTTTCATAATTTTGTAACTCATTTAAAAATAATTATTGTCAAATGGGTATGACATATTTTTGTAGAAAATTTAACGCTCAACAAAAAAGGTCTGATGTGTTTAATTGATTACTCTAACCGTTGAAAAGATATTCGTATCCGAATATCAATGCGTACTGATACGATATCTTCTCAACGGTTAGAGTAATCAATTAAACATATTAGACCTTTTTTGTAGAGCGTTAAATTTCCTACAATATGTCATACTCATTTGACAATAATTATTTTTCAATGAGTTACAAATTTATAAAAAAAATGTTTTTAATAAATTATTCAAACTTTGATCTTGAATTTTTTTAACTGGTTAGAGTAATCGCTTAAACACATCAGTCCTTTTTTGTAGATTAATTTTACTGGAAAAAATATATAAAGATTTAATTAAACGATTGATTAATAATGAAATATGGTCTTTTTTATAAGGGACTATAGAAGAAATGGAAAACTGTGATGAGAAGAAATTGAAAACTGTGATCTAGAAGAATCTAATATTAAGAGCTCAAATTTGGTGAGCACTTTCTAGAGGTGACTAAGAAAAAATATTTTAATATTGGAAATAAAAAAAAATATTTTTTTAATCACCCTATTGCCTACAAATTGGCTATATTTAAAACGTTTTGATGACGTCGTATATTTGTCTGATTCTGGTATGAAATAACTAGTCAGATAATGGTCAGACATTTACGTCATTTTATTTTGGTACTGAACTATTTTGGAACAAAGGTAAAAAAATTGACGTCTGATTCTGGTATGAAATTACAATAAAAAATTACGTCTTTTTTAGGTTTTATTTTGGCACTAAACTATTTTGGTTAGGTAATGGTCAGAAATGTACGTCTTTTTTACTTTATATTTTGGCACTATTCTATGCTGGTACAAAGATGTCCCAAAATTGGCCTCTGATTCTGGTATGAAATAACGTTAAAAATTACAGAGATGTCCAAATATTGACATCTGGACGACCTCACTCGTCATCAGTCTTTGCTGGGAGGTTCTATTCCCTAATTTCATGAACTTTGATGGTTAACTCCATTTTACATTTATTTTTATGATAAAAATATTCGAGTTATTGAAATTTGAGACACAAATCCACAAACTCGGAACTGGTATTTCTCGAATTTTTTTCAATTAGAATTTGTTTGCCAGTCCTTCAGGTTTGAGTTAGGGAAGTAACATTTGGCAATGTTAAACAATCTAGTATCTTAGTAGTTTGCATGAGGTCAAATTTTAAAGTCAGTTGTTTCAGACAGTAATTTCTTAAAAACTTTTTAACAATGTATTGAACATACATATAGGGTGGGGCAGTAGTTTTCCACTTATTAAGGATTTACGTTTAAAAAAAACTTGACTGTATGTTTAATAAGCTGAAAAGGTTGTTATCTAAAACGCTTGCTATGGACAACAATTTAAGAAAATATAATCTTTAAATCATCGTAACTTAGTTTTAATTAACAAACTTCTTATTTTTACAATAAAATGTAAAAAACAAAAATAATTATTTTGCTTATTTTATGTTGATGTAAGGTTACTTATTAACACCCTGTGGAAATAAATTTAATAATGTAATATAAATAAATAAATTTTAGTTATTTTTTACTTATTTATATTCACAAGTAAATTAGGCAACTTCCGCAAATACCTATGTTACATAACGATAGTTGTAAGTAAGCTATAACACACAAGTTGGAAACTAGTGTGCCCATTACAATTAGTTATGTACCTACCAACTATACTTTTTCTACGAGCTTACGGAATGGATTAAAAATAAAATGTCACTATTTATGACTTAAAAATGTTACCAACCTATTCCAAAGGATGTTATGTAATATACTGTACATTCATTTGCAAGCTATACATAGGGAAAATACATTGTAGGTGGAACAGACAAGTCCCAGAAATTATTTTGACGAGTGGATGAGTAGACTAACATGCGACGTAACAGGTGACCTTGTTTACTGGCGATTAAAATTTTATTATGTCCTAATAATTTCTGAGAACTTTTTTGCTTTGCGCTGACTTAGACTTGTCTGGTCCACCTACAATGTATTTTCCCTATGTATAGCTTGAAAATGAAGGTACGGTTTGTATGCCTGTATATATAATTAGTAACTTTAATTATTACATAACACTTCTCTTGAATTAATTAAATACATACAGTGTGTCCCAGAATATGTAGGCAATCTTCCAAATTTAGATATAACACATAAAAATAATATGAATGAATTTTTTTCCTACGGCCCTACGGAGATACCGGCCCATAACGGACGTCCCTGGAAAGAAAAAAAAGGGATCGAAAAACACTCTATTTTTAACTGACACTGACATCATTATTTAAATCGGTAAATGTAAAAAAAACATTGTTAAAAAATAAAATTTAATGTAAAAAACCCTATTGTACAAAAACATTTCTTTTCGTAAACAGTACATTTTATCTACCTATGTCGATCAAGATTAACTTTTTTAGTTTAAGGTTTAAGCTGACTAAAAATATTATTGTTGTGCCTTTATAGTACAGGGTGTAAATACAAGCATTAGTCCATTAGTCCGTCCCTGGCAAACTAAATAAGCCAAATGTGATTAAAAGTGCCCTTTTTAAGGAAACTTTCATAGTAAACAATATATTTAAAAATTATTCAATTCCACCATGTAGTTTAAAAGTTAACTTATTCATATTATTTTTATGTGTTATATCTAAATCCGGGAGATTGCCTACATATTCTGGGACACCCTGTACATATATATATACTAAAGGAGTAGAAAAATTAATCTCATTTTAGGTTCCTATTCCAATTTAAAATCAGCTAGCAATTTACCGGGTACTCAGTCGAATCTGAAAACAATGGGACAAAAATTAAGAGGTTCTTACACCAGTTTAAGGCCAATAAGCCAGTACTTGCCTGTGGCGCCCCCGCCTTTGTCAAAGACAGGACTAAACACCACAGCTACTTTGATTAAAGCATCAAATCCAAATGTCACGCAGAATATCGACAGCCCTTCCAAAGTTGCAGAGGTAAGTCAAAAAATTGTTTTAATGTATTTTTTGCTATACTGAATCCAAATAAGAGTATTTTTAATTATACTCAAAATCCACCAGCCGCCACTGTAACACCCCATCAAAATTTAAAACATTAGCTCAACTCCTGCCTTAGAAACTTATGTTTACTAGATGGATTGTTAGTTTTTTAAACACGTGGTATAGCGATAGTGCTCCTTTTTTTCTACAGGTAAACAGATGAACACTTTTTGATTTGCAATTATATTTTTTTATTATTTTCCTGATAAGTCTTATTTTGCAAAATCAGTTCGAAACATTTTACACGTGACAAAGGTTTAATGCATTTTATTTTGCATGGTTCCTATAATTAGCTATGTTCGCGGTGCTTAGCTAACTAGTTCGGAAATCCTACGCGTATGTCTTTTAAAATATGGCGTTCGCGGTAAGAAAATTATAAGTTTATAGGAAAACAAACAAAGTTTGCGGTTTCATTTGAGATACGAAACACGTTCGATAGATTCTCGGGCATAAGCAGGGATAAAAAATCATATGCATCGGTATTTATAATTTGTAATCTTAAACAAAAGAGTATATACAGGGTTGCCCCTCATCAGGAAAACCTGGAAATGACAGGGAATTTAAATTTTTTAGAAATGTCAGGGAATTGGCAAAAAAATCTAGTCAGGGAATTCCTAAGTCGGTCAGGGAATTGGTTATTTATAAATAAAACTAATCAACAAAATTTTCATTAAAAAAAATATGTTAACGAGTGTAATTTAAATTTAATTTATTCATGTATCTGAGAATAGGCGCACCCCTGTAACTTTTTTATTTATTAAGATAGACACATGAAATTTAGCACAGTTATTTAGGATATAAAATGCCACTTATAAGAGTACAAAATGAATTTATTGTACTTCCGGTTTCGCCGGAAATGATACCAACTTTCGATTTTTAAATGGAATGCCCTATATATTTTTACATATTTGGAATCCTGAGGAAATTCTGAGTCGGACAGCATCCTCAAATTGACCTTTTGACATTTCGTCATCAGAAAGTGTATCAACATAAAGATCAATCTAGAGTGCTTTGAACTATCTTATTTTCTTCTAATGGATTCGCACAATGCCTGAAAAATGGAACTTGCCTTAGAAAGTTGTTATTCAGCAGTCTAAACTTGTCAAAATTCGTTTTTCTCAAATAGTTCAAAGCACTCTAGATTGATCTTTATGATGATGCATTTTCTGATGACGAAACGTCGAAAGGTCAATTTGAGGATGCTGTCCGACTCAGAATTTTCTCAGTATTCTAAATATGTAAAAATATATAGGGCGTTCCATTTAAAAATCGAAAGTTGATATCATTTCCGGCAAAACCGGAAGTTAAAAAAATTCATTTTTTACTCTTATAAGTGGCATTTTATATCCTTATTAACCATGCTAAATTTCATGTGTCTATCTTCATAAATAAAAAAGTTACAGGGGTGCGCCTATTCTTAGATACACCCGGTATGTCAAACTTATCACTATAACCTTAAAAGTCTATATCACGACTTATCATTTTAACCTTCTAAGACATAACCAACTATTTTTATGTTTAGGGTAATTAATATTTGTAAATGGTAAGCATAATTAATAAAATAATTAATTAATCAGTAAAAGCATAATTAATAAATTAATTAATTAATCAGTAAAAGACTTTGAGAAATCATAGTTCCTGTTGATAAAAAACCGTTTCAAACCAAATGTTTCATTCAATTGCCGGCCATTAAAAAAGGATTTCGGCAACGAAGAACACAAAAATGTCTAATTTTCTTAAAAAAAGAACCAGATGGAAAATAAAAATGAATTAGTTAAAAATGACTAATTGTCATAGCGAAAAAGAAGCCACTAATAATTCAACAGCAATTTGTATCCCGGATATTTAGCAGTCAATTCCTATGTAAAATTGTCTGCTGAATCCGAATATGTCCTCAAAAGTTATAAAAGTAGGACAGTTTTTAAGACTTATTCAATTTTTCATATAATATGGAATTGACTATATCTCGAAAACTGCTATGACGGTCTTTTCGGATTCAGGGGACAATTTTACATAAGAATTGGCTGTTAAATGTCCTGGATACAAATTGCTGTGAACTACAGTTATTAGTGACTGCAGTGAATTAGTCAAAAAAAACATGCTTCTTCACTATGACATATGTCATTTTTGACTAATTCTTTTTTAGAGAGTATGCTTGAAAAAGTTACAGTTTTACAGGATAATAATATTGCTTTAGAAAATAACCAGAATAAATCAATTTCTTCAATAAAAACTCCTGCAAAAAATGATAGAAAAAAAAATCCTTTTTTTTTGTACTATCAAATACACTCACAGGCAAAATAATCGATCCACACAAATTTTCGATTAATTTCAATCGCAAATAACTTTTTTATTTGATTTCGGATTTAAACAAATATTAAAGAATATTGTAGATACATTAATGGAGAATCGCTCACATTTTAAAAATTACTAAAAAATAGATGTACGTTTTTAATATACAGGTTTAAACAAAAAAAAAAGTTTTTTACCATAAGTTTAAGACACTATGTAGAGTGGCAAAACCGTATATTGTTCTAAATTAAGTTTTAATTATCAAGTCACATCTATTTTTAACAGTTTTGTTTTTGGTTCACCTTGATATATTTATTTATGTGGAAATTATGGATTTTTTAAAAAAACATTACAATTTCCAATATTTTTTCTGTACGAAGAACTAAGGTTGCTATGGTCCATCCATAGCCTATGAAGGATGACAGTGACAGTTTTGTATGGGATGATTCAACAAAACTGTCACTTCATCCTCCATAGCCTATGGATGGACCATAGCAACCTTAGTTCTCTGTACAGAAAAAATATTGAAAATTGCAATGTTTTTTGAAAAATATTTTCCACAAAAATAAATATATCGAGGTGAACCAAAAACAAAACTGTTAAGAATAGATGTGACTTGATAATTAAAACTTAATTTACAACATTATACGGTTAAGCCACTATACAGCTTCTACATTCTAGAATGTCTTAAACTTATGATAAAAAACTTATTTTTGTTTAAATCTGTATATTATAAATGTAAATCTATTTTTTAGTAACTTTTTAAAATGTGAGCGATTCTCCATTAATTTATCCACAATATTATTTAATATTCGTTTAAATCCGACTCTAAATAAAAAAGTTATTTGCGATTGAAATTCATCGAAAATTTGTGTGGATCGATTATTTTGAGTGTATTTACTGATAAGAACTCATCAACTTGATAAACAAGACCTGCCGCAGACAAAATTTCAAAGGCATTTTTAAAAATTTCATTATTTCTGTTATTTTCAGATTGATTAATGTAATAAAAACCCAAGAAACAAAAACCTAAATTAAAAATTATCCCGAAAAAATTAGCTACAGAAAATTTTTTGTTTTTTTTTTTTAATAAGAAGTATTGATTTTTTGTTAATGTTTTTGAATTTTATAAACTTCAATAAAAGTTTAGTTTTTTAATTAATCGTTAGAATTCTCCACCAAGAGAAAAATAAATTCAAGTATTACATAAGCACCAAAGGGGGCTTGATTAATTTGATTTTTTTGTATATTTTTAATAAGCTTTACTTACTTTTGCTGGCAAAGGAAAGGGGGGGTTAAAAATTACTGCTTATGTAATACTTGAATGGCCCCATACTTAAAATTTTAAAAACAAACACTTAGTCCAGTTAAAAAAATCATTGAGGGTCAGGAAACCAAAAAGAAAACACATTTTGTCTGGAAAAAAATCAGGGAAGGTCAGGGAATTCCTGGAAAAGTCAGGGAATTTGGTTTAGACAAATCGGTGGCAACCCTGTTATATGATTGTTTTTTATATAGAGGATCGTTATTTTACCATATTTATGGAATGTGGGCGTCTTTGGCAACGATGAGTTTTTTGCGATTGGTTTGAGCGGGGACCCAAAATTATCATAAATCAGCAATGTACCGTGATTATTTAGGGTCAATTAACATATTTTGTTATTAAATTTTAAGTTAAGCGTTTTTATAATTGGTTATTGGTTATTTTTTAAACAAAGCATTTCCGTACAATAATTAACCTAGTTATCCTAATATTTTTTGCAATATTAATAAATTTTGTTTTATTTTTAAAAAGTTTACTAAATTTATTTTAATAATCAAACATGGCGGATGAGAATGTATAATTAATATAAAATAATCTTAGTAATGCATTGAATAGTAAAACCTGCATATGTCTCTGTGGGTAAAAGGAATAAGGGAATAATTCAAAAAATCAATTTTTTAGTTGAGCCTTACAACGCACTTGCATTAGCCATAAATATATTTCCTTAATTGAACAATATTTCTTGCTATTGATAGTACCTAATTGTAGTTTCGTCTTGTATTTAAAGGTGCACCCTATCCCTAGAGTACCCAGTAACGATGCTAGTTTAAAACCCCGTATGAGCGGACTTCCCAGGCCTATTTCCAGCGGCCTACCGAGGCCAGTATCTAAAATACCTGGCATACGAAGCAATTTCAGGTAAGGAATGTTAACGTAGCATCCAATCAAGTATAGTGTATTCGCTGAAAAAAAAATTTCGGGAACCAATTGCGAAAGAATGGTGGTATACAAAACACCTTTTATTCAGTTAATATACTATACATATTATGTTATTATACTATACATATTATGTTGTTTATAATTAAAACGGGTTAATTTCTGTTTTTCTTTAATTCTAGGCCCCTTTCTAGGCAGTGACATTGTCAGAAAAATATTATTTAATATACCTAGTGCCTTATCAATTTACAGCTCTTCTAGTACCATTAATTTTTTTTATATTTATTTTGTAACATAGATTGTATTTAAAGTGTTTTTTGTTAATAGATTTTCATATAGTTTTTTCGTGAGTTATTAATATCTACAGGGTTTGCTAAAATCCCAAAAAAACATTGTAAAATAAGTCTAATTTAATAAATAATAGTATGAACTAAAAAACTTATGTTACTATGATTTGGGATTTTATTTTTAATATATTTTGTATAAGGTTTTGAACATATCTTTAAAACAAAATATATATATATATATATATATATATATACAGTGTGTCTACCATAGTTTTAGTGTTTACTTAAGTTGACAACATATGGAAAACTTTCTTATTATTAATTTTACAAAGAAAAGTAATTCTTTTTAAAATGTTCTAAAATCTAAAATAAAATTTTTTTCAGTCAAGTCAAGAGTAAAGTACCTTTATTTGTAACAATATGGAAAACTGTAATTTTGAAAAGTTGTTTGGAATGGAAAACTATGTTTTTATATGCAATTACAAACTCATTCTTAAAAAAAAAATTCAAATTACCGATACCGAACATTTATCTTTTTTATTTATTACAAACATGATAACCTTTCCGTTCCGTTCAAAAAGTAATAAGCAAATTCTGATATTTTTACATTCAATGTCAAACATTTCTTGCTATCAACAAATCATTTGTTTGTCAATGCATCCTGGATTACATGTAACTACAGTTACATTTGCATTGTTATTGTAAACAAAAAAGAAAAAATGATTTTTTCCATGTACCTAAATGGAAGTAATTGGATATTTGAACGTAGTTTTTAGTTCTGATAAACTTTTTTTAATAAGAATTTTCGATATTGTCAAATATAAAGGTACTTTACTCTTGAGTGAGATTAATATTTTTTGACAAACCGCGTATACGACTGAAAAAAATTTATATCTGTTGATTGTATTTTAGATTTTAGAATAACTAATAATAATAATAATGCTTTATTGAACTAAAACCAAGTTCAAAGGCTATTGACCGTAGTCCTTCAGCCGAAGAATAACTTTTTTCTTAAAATTAATAATAAAAAAGTTTCCCATATGTTGCCAACTTAGGTAGACACACTGTATATACCGGGTGTATCTGAGAATAGGCGCACCCCTGTAACTTTTTTATTTAAAAAGATAGACACATGAAATATTGCATGGTTAATTAGGATATAAAATGCCACTTAGAGAGTACAAAATGAATTTTTTGAACTTCCGGTTTCGCCGGAAATAATACCAACTTTAGATTTTTAAATGGAATGCCCTATACATTTTTACATATTTGGAATCCTGAGGAAATTCTGAGTCAGACAGCATCCTTAAACTGACCTTTTGACGTTTCGTCATCAGAAAATGTATCATCATAAAGATCAATCTAGAGTGCTTTGAACTATCTTATTTTCTTCTAATGGATTCACACAATGTCTGAAAAATGGAACTTTCCTTAGAAAGTTGTTATTCAGCCATTCCCAGCAGTCTAAACTTGTCAAAATTCGTTTTTCTCAAATAGTTCAAAGGACTCTAGAATCTAGAGTCTAGATTGATGATGCATTTTCTGATGACGAAAAGTCGAAAGGTCAATTTGAGGATGCTGTCCGAATATGTAAAAATAATAATAATTTAAAAATCGAAAGTTGGTATCATTTCCGGCGACACCAGAAGTTAAAAAAAATCATTTTGTACTCTTATAAGTGGCATTTTATATCCTAATTAACCATGCTAAATTTCATGTGTCTATCTTTATAAATAAAAAAGTTACAGGGGTGGGCCTATTCTCAGATACACCCGGTATATATATATATATATATATATATATATAAAAATATGAATATATAAATATAAATATATATATATATAGAAATATATATATATAAATTTTGTTTTTTGTTATTGTTATTTTAACAATGGTTAAAAAGTATACACTTTGTAAAAAACTAGAATGACTGACTTATTAATTTCCCTGTATGTGTATGTGCAGTATGTTGAGCTTAGTGCATGTGTATAATGCATTTTTATACGAGACGTTTTATACAGGGTGCTCATAATTTATAATTTTGTAAAATTTCGCATCGCCCTGTACAGCTTTGTGTTTACATTGTGCCTTTGTGATTGATTTTTATTTTGTATAGTTTGATTATTATTTAGTTTGTAATAATAATTGCAAACAAATTGTACCATATTAAAGGCCACTCGTATTTATACAGGGTGTTTTACCTATTCATGCATAAAACAAATTTTGATATTTTAATTCATTAAAAACTGCAATATTGTATTAGGAGGGACACCTTGTATGATTTATTGCTCAATTTTGTCTGCAGATAAAAATTAATATCAAAATTGAATAGTAGGTATTACTCATTAAGTGGCATTGTGATTAAGTTGATATGAATTGTAAAAAGTATGGAATTGATTATAAAAGTATTTTCTCATTATTTTTAAATTTTGCCATCTATAGGGTGTTTGTTTTAACTGTGCTAGATGGTGCAACTATATACATTGTACCTTTTTTAAATGTTTAATCAAAATTTATTGTATTAATTTATAAAACTCCTTAGTATAAGAGTACAATAATGCTTGAATCTAATATTTTGTAACAACTAGCAAAAAACGACTGTCTTATTAGTTTTAATTTATCCCGTGGAGTTAAAATTCACAGCAATATTAATTTATATAGATGATTTTATTACCTTTTTTGTTTGCTAATACAATAAACATTATTTAACACTTTTCGTTTTGTATTCTTAACCTTGGTATAATTTAATTTATGACTAAATATAGACTATTTAAGAGGTTATACAATTATGTGGTAATTCAATTTTTTCTTTTCTGTAAATGGTTTTGTAAAATATTTTAGACTTGATGAAGGATTACACCAGAAAAGAAAATATGATATTTAAAATTATGTTATTTGATATCACAGACAGATGGTCTGTGTTTGATATAGATAAGATAAAATGATTTTATCAACTTTATAAAAAAGGTTGATTTAAATGTGGGTAGCTACAGGGTTCTAGACAAATTTTATAAAAGTAAGTCGTTGAAAATTCAAATTAAATTCTAAATATGAAAGGGTTAAAACTATATAGATATCTAAAATAACCAAATAAGTATAAGAACTGTCTAAAATGAACAAAAACTGTCTAAAATTTCAATAAACTAAAAAAGTGTTAATATTTTTTCTTATTATTACTTGATGAAACTATACCATATTAACTATGAAAATATAAAAACAACTATGTTTTGAAAGTTTCACATAATTTATTTGAATATTGACAATTGTTTTGCTACACAGTAGCTTCTTCAGAATGTATGTAATAACCACCTGTTACATTAATTGTAAATAATTATTGATTTAATACTGCCACATGATCATATCTATGGAAACGGATATAAATAACATTTATGAAAATATTAGTTTAAATATCGGCAAAAATATTAAAATGTCAGAAAAAGATTCAGATCAAGAAAGTTTTAAAGATAAACATACTGAAGATGAATTGTCTTACAATTTAAAAACCAAATTATCCACTAAAAATAGTAGTGCCGGCGAAGGTTGGTATTTAAAATGACCCAAATTTACAAACCTCGCCAAAGAAAAACTTTTTCAGGTAATAATTCAACACTCAGCGACTATAATGACGAGGCGTTTGAAGATTGCAGTGACGACGAAACCGATTTTTCAGATAATCTGAGTTCGATTTACGAAGTCTTTCACGGCATCCAACCCTTTAAGTACGTCGATCAAACAAAAACATTCACCCCAAATCAACTGAACGAAATCGAAAGAAAAAATTCCATTTTAATGAACAAAATTCTAGCAAATAACAAAAGAAAAAATAAGTACAATGATCCGCCAAAATTTTCCGATGCCAAACAAGTTTCTTCTGCTGCTATTAATAGGAAAAAGAAGCAAGAGAAGATTGATAGAGATAACCAGGTACCTATCTTCCAGTAATAAAAAAATAATGTTTTTGTTGAGTTTAACAAACCCGGCTTTTGTATTCAATTATAAAGTTTACTTTAAGATTAAAATTTTCTGCCCAAAACAAACTAATTTTGCACGGTTGTTTGATTTAACCTTTTTACTATTAGCAGAACAAATAATGTATTTTGCTTTGGCAGTTTTTTTTAAATAAAATGCAATGTTTTACATTTTCCACCACGGATAATTTGATTTGCTTTTATGATAATTACAGTGATAATTTATTTGCGGACTTAAAAATTGTGGGAAAACTATAACAATACCTATACGTACCTATATTTGTAAAGAATGTTTCATCTACCCGGACAACATTCGTGATATTCATACAAACATCATGTCGTGATTTTCACAAATTTTATTCATACGGAAGTCACCGCGTGATAAATGAAAATCATACGAACGTCACGTCGTGATGTTCACAAATTTTATTCATACGGACATCATCCGGATGTCACTGCGTGAGAAATAATAATAATAATAATAATGATGAAAATCATGTCGTGATTTTTTATGCCATCGCTGTTTGCGATTGACCGATGGTCTAAAAAATCATGTCGTTATTATAACATACTGTAGTCGTATATACTTTTGTACATATATGTACATATATGTATACTTTAAAGTATTTACAATTGGAAATACTTTTCTATATTTAAGATGAAATAATTCGTAAACCAACCAAATTTGAAGAAAAAAAAATGTTTGAGGTGATTTATAAATATATTTGCATAAACTGTATTAAACTTGCCTTTTTATTTATTTTCAGATACTTTTGAAAAAACTCCAATCTGTGAAGTCATCTTTTAAAAATCGCTAAAAATTTCTAATAATTATTTATAACTACGTTGGGACCAAGAACAGACTTTTTAAGTTAAAGTAATATGTATACTTACATTTTTAATTTGCTGTTTGCATTATTTTATTGAGTGCAATTAAATTATGTTAAGGTCAGTGCAAGATTGGGTTTAAAATACGCGGTAATGGAAATTCCACTATAGACATTAAAAATTATAGAAATATTTATATTTTTACAATATACATTTATTTTATTTGTTTTATTTTTGTGTGTACAGTGCATCTTTTTCGCTATGAGATGAGTCAGACAAACACTGTGCATTGCTTCACACGCTTAATGCGGGTGTTACATTAACAGTTACATTAGTGTGCTACTTGAAAAAGGACAACTTTGTTGATGTGTTATAACATATAAAGAAACATTCTCCAACACCAAAACACAAAGTGCTACTTCATGAAGATGCCATCGTTGGCGAAAAGTACTTTAAGCACTTTGTGTTTTGTTTTGATGTTGGGGAATACCCAGTGGCGTTCCCAGAAATTTGGTAAGGGGGGAGAGCTTAACCGTATGGAAAGGAAAGATAAAGGTAGGTTAATCTAAGAATGTTATTTAAAAAATATATTTCTTTACTTTTTTTTTGTTGAAAATTCTAAGCCGAGTTGAACCCACTATGGGCACGCCACTGTATCTAACGTAATATTATTATATAACATTCATTTATTAAAAAAAATTTAAAAAAAACGAGAACTGTCCAAAAATGATTTTTATCAAAAAAATTTTAATCCAACATTTTCAAAAAAATCAAAATTACAAATTAACCATACACAATAAAAATGATGTGTCGCAGCTATTGTGGTTTTTTAAAATAAAGCAAAAAATATTTGTTTTCCTCTGTGGACATTGGGGCCGTACATAAATCTCGTAACGCTCGACGCGGGGATCCCCGTCCCAGGTGACAGAATGTGACAATTTAAAGACCCCCGAAGCGTGACGAATTATTAAACTCTCTTACCAACCAAAAATATATTTTTTTTAATAATCTTATTAAAAATGAAACAAATAAGCAATTTTATTAGATATACTTTGTTACGTGGCTTTTTCCTACCACCCTCGGGCGTGACGGTCCTTCAAAACTCCCCTCACCTCATCAGGGTCATAAGATTTATGGACGGCCCCAATTCTAAGTCTTTCATCCATGCCTACTGTAGTACACGTATATTTCCGGGTCATGTGTAAAGTGAAGCCCACAGAGGAGAAGCCACAAAACATGCTGAAGCTGGCAACCCTACACATAACATATTATGTTCTGGTCTTAAAGACCATGGTCTGTGCACAGACAATCTGTGCATAAGACCAAAGGTGTTCTTCCAAGCAACAAAAAACTTTTGTTTTTTGAATCACAAATTTTGTATCAATCAATATTATGTGTATTATGTAACACAATATACTACCATGTATTACCCAGTGATGTAATGTATCGAGATACATGTATCTAGATACTGGATCTAGATACATTTTGTGTACCTAAATACGTATCGAGATACTTAAAAAAAATCAGGATCTACTTTAGTATCTAGATCCTTTTGAAAGTATCTAGATCCTTAGATACAAGATACATTTTATTTTACCCAACCTGATTGCAACTCCACACCGTGTGGGCCACAAATAATAAAAAGATATTTTATTTCTTTTTCCCTTCAACCCACTTTGGTGTGCGAAGTGCATAAAGTAACTCTTAGGCACTAGTGAGTAAAGTTAAACAAAAGCGCTGTAGGTTACCTATAGTTGGCTTTTCTTCGTTCTGATAATTTTGAATTTGTACTACAAATTTTGTAGTAAGCTTTCATATGGCGAGTAAATATAAAATTTATTTCCGTTTTTCATGTATATTTGGTCAATTTTATCAAAACAGTTTTATTTTATAGTTAACACGCTTGTTTATAAGGTCCAAAAAAATTTTTTTTGTCATAATTTTTAAGTTTTTTTAACATAGTATCTGGAAGTAACTTAGATACTTTTTGAATGTATCTGTATCTGTACCCAGATACTTTTGGGAAAATGTATCGGTATCTGTACCCAGATACATCTACCAGAGAGTATCTGTATCGGTACCTATCTACTGAAAAAAATGTATCGGTTACATCACTGGTATTACCATATCCAGCATAATTGCTATGATTGCTATCATAAACAGTGTTGCCGGATGTCTTTCATGAAAATCCCCGGTCAAAAATTACAAAATACCCGATTTTACCCGCAAGAGTAAAAAAATACTTACCTTATATTTAAAAATTCAATTCAATTTTCTTTATTTTAATTTTTTAAGAATATATGTTTTTATAAAAGGATTAAACACAATTTCCTAATCAAGTTTAAAAAATTAAAAGTTTAAATTTATCAATATTAACAAAGTTATGATGATTTAAAGTTTGGGTTTTCTGACAGGAACTGCTAAAAAATACATCTGTCAACCATGTTAACTTAAAATGGCTGAAGATGGTTTGTTTCCATAACAATTGTTTTAGATGTCTCTTAAATGGGCTTGAAACGTACAAGCGTTGCCAAATTTTTTAAACTTAAATGCTTAATAACTCGAAAACTACTGGTCGGATTTTTTTGTTGCAATTTTTTTATGCTTAAAATAACCTCCTCTACAGCATGGTATGGAGTAGGTGCGCCATTTCAGGGATACTCTGTATATAAATATATATTTTCTTAATAAAATAAAATTATTAAAAAATATATTCTTCAGCTCTGTTTGCAAAAATAAATTAATTAAATATTTTGACCGAAATTTGGTAAATACCCGCTTTTACCCGCTTAAATATTTTACCCGCAAGCATGACAAAAATACCCGATTTTCGGGTAAAATACCCGCAAACGGCAACATTGATCATAAAAGTCATCACTGTCTATGGTGTTTAATGTCGTTGGTTGGCTCCGCCCATGAACATGTGTTGAAGTCAGATTCACACAAGCAAAAGTACTTTACGCCGCAAAAATCTTCCAAATCTGCCAAACTGACAACCTTGAAAAAGTAAAATCGGCTGTGAAATGTCAAACTAAAAAAATAATTTTATTATGATAGAAAATTTTAGTTTTTATCAATTTGCAATAGATTCTAGGAAAATATTAATACGATTTGTTTGCAAGCTTTAATAATTGCGATGCATTTTGGAAGTTTAGTTTTTTGGTTAGTTTTGAATGTGTCGTGGAAAAATGTTTTTTGTGAACTGGAATATGCGGAAAAACCCGGTAATGTCAACCCCAGGGAACCTGTTCAAAGTACTTATTATTCCTCCAGTGACTTAACCTACGATAAAAGTAATAATGGTAAGTTTCCTAATAAGTTTTAAATGCAAGCAAAATTAATGGTGCCTTTTTTTAGTTTTATATGAAACTTGTAATATTCATGATTTTGCCTGTCTGGCAATGGCGGCTAGTGATAAATTAGGATTAGAAGCAATAAAATCCCTGCACACAAAACTTGACGATGATGCCAATGGTAACATCGACCTATCTGAATCAGACGATGTAAGTAAAAAACTTTCAACTTAAAAGAGTTGTTGAAATTTCCACATACAAAATATTTGAAAAACAAATTTACAATCTTTAAGAATTGATATTTTTCTCTGTATATGAAAAATGTCATAATATAGGTATTCAATATTAAGGGCCTCAAATCAGAGGAGTATGCGCCAAAATCAAATATTTTACAGAAGAAGATAAAAACATTTCAAAGTTCTGTTTTTGTAAATATTTATAGTAGGCATAGCCTTATGCTAAAACCTTGTGTAATAATATTTGCTGTATTACTGCACTAAATCGAATAAATAAAAATAAAAAAAATTGTAGTATTTACAAACACATGTTATTTAGATAGGTCTATCTAATTAATAATATGTTTACTAAATTAAATATGCAAACTGCAATTGAATCGGCAAGAATAAGAAAAGTACAAGTCCAAAAGTTAAAATTTTGACAAAATATTTAAAAAAATCATTTTTATAGTTCTAAATGCATTTTTGCATATGCATATTTTATAAAATAAAATATTCATATTTTGTAAAATGATTTATATCTTCTCACAAAAATGTATTTTTAACTGTAAAATTGATTTAAAAAAATGACTGTTCTTATTCTCACCAATTTAATTATTTATTTAACTATAACTTAAGTAAACTTAAAAAAACTCAATTATTTCCTATTTCAATCAATTTCTAAATTTCACTCACATTGGGAAAAAATAAAAGTTCAAAGTTCAAAGGCTATTGACCGTAGTCCTTCAGCCGAATAAATAAAATATATATATATATAGATGGGCTAATTATGGTGTCCTTGTAGAAAAAGTAGTTGGGTAAATTAGTTTTTAAAAATAATTTCATGTTTGCTAGGTTATAAACCAGAAAGGAAAATGCTAATTGTTTTATAATATTATGTATTATATAATTATTATAGGTACCACCAAAATTATCAAGGTATAAAAAACAAAAAATTATTTTAAATATTTTTGGCCTTAATAATATTATTATAATAAGCAGATAAAATAATAACTAGGTGACTTCTATACTAATAATTTTACTGTTACAATCAATTTAATTTAATAGTAACAATAGATACAACACATTTATTAAACATGCATAACTATATAATAAGAAATTTGATTAATTTTGTCAGGCCAATTGATAAAAAAACATATGCCAACTATTTTTAAAAACGTTTTAATTTTAGCAAAATTAAATACAAAATTTATTACTAATATTGACTTGCATGATCATCAATTTGCGATACTAATAACCAAATCGTGATATGTTTGTTGTCATGGGTTTGAATATTCCCGCCACGAAATTTTTACGCGCATTACACTGCGTTGCCGCACTATGTAGTGAGCGGTTGAAAAAGTGACAAATGTTTTTGTGCCATATAAATACACCCTTTATTTTTTTAATTTTTTTTTTATCAGCATTTTTAAATAACGCTTTTACTAATTTGCAAAAAGGGGCAATATTGTACCACGCGAGGGGTTATTATGCATTTAAGTTTAAACAACTTTGAAACATGGTGATTTTTATAAGCTGAATAAATTAACGTATATATAACGATATATCGGTTTTTGTAAACAAATCGAATGAGGCAGCTGACGTTAACATGCTTGATAGATATATTTTATATCAAACATTAACAAATTTTAACTTTTAATTTTTAAAAACTATTTTCTAGGGTTTTATACATATAAATATATTTTTGAAACCTTGTAGCTAAAAATTTACTACTACTAATTTTTGTTTGTGTTTTTATATTCAGAATAACCATTTCTATATGTGGTATTAGCACAACATAATGCTGTATAATTAGCACAGCATAATGCTGTGGTATTAGTGCGCAATTTTTTGGACATCCTCTATAAAAATAATTGCCTATAAATATCCCCTTTAAAATTTAACATGTTCAAATAAAATAAAACCAAGTAAGTTTTAATTTAAATTAACAAAGTTAAAAACACCTTATATTAATAAATATGTTAATGTACAGGGTGGTCCACGTAAGGTGACCCATATACTTATCTCAGAAACTACTGGAGTCACAAAAAATTTGTTAGGAACAAATATTCACGAAGTAAAACATATTTTTAAAATATTATATTTTCATTTATACAGGGTGTTCAGTTTTCCTTGGGACGATACCAACTTTCTTATTTTCAATGGAACACCCTGTATTTTTTTGCATTTTTGGATTCTTCCCACTCTTTTAGGTATACTTTGTAAATATATTTAATAAGAAAATGTTAATACTTTTTGAGTAAAATTAAGATTTATTAAAATTTCTCTAAATGTAGACACTCGCTAAAAGTTAAAAATAACCAACTAAAAGTTATTATTTTTTATATTATGTAGTATCCATCTCTTTATTAATAAGTAAGCTATAAGTTAATTATTATATTTTTTGGAAAATATCATACAGGGTGTTTTCTATGTCCCGTTGAAAATAGCGATTTTAAAAGTTTAAAATCTTGTTTTTATTCAATGGAACACCCTATATATTTTTGCATAATTGGATAGAATAAGTAATTACCTTTCATTTTATGTATATATGTCCTATACCTAAACCTAACAGAAAAAAAAATATTCGCATTTTTCACAATTAGTAGCTTTTTTCCAATTACCTTAGTTAAATTTTCATTATTCAAAGAAAACACCCTGTATAATATTTTCCAAAAAATACATTAATTAACTTATAGCTTACTTATTATTAAAGAGATGAATGCTACATAATATAAAAAATATTAACTTTTAGTTGGTTATTTTTAACTTTTAGCGAATGTCTACATTTAGAGAAATTTTAATAAATCCTCATTTTACTCAAAAAGTATTAACATTTTCTTAATTAATATATTTACAAAGTATACCTAAAAGAGTGTGTAGAATCTAAAAATGCAAAAAAATATAGGGTGTTCCATTGAAAATAAGAAAGTTGGTATCGTCCCAAGGAAAACCGAACACCCTGTATAAATAAAAAAATAATATTTTAAAAATATTTTTTAATTCGTGAATATTTGTCTCTTACAAATTTTTTGTGACTCCAGTAGTTTCTGAGATAAGTATATGGGTCACCTTACGTGGATCACCTAAAAAAAATATTCGCATTTTACAAAATTAGTAGCTTTGCGCGTATGGTAATTATTATAGTAATATATATTTATATATAAAAGCATTTTTATTTGTTGTTATTGAAATTTATTTATTTGAATAATGAAAATTTAACTAAGGTAATTGGAAAAAAGCTACTAATTGTGAAAAATGCGAATATTTTTTTTTCTGTTAGGTTTAGGTATAGGACATATATATATAAAATGAAAGGTAATTACTTATTCTATCCAATTATGCAAAAATATATAGGGTGTTCCATTGAAGAAAAACAAAATTTTAAACTTTTAAAATCGCTATTTTCAACGGGACATAGAAAACACCCTGTATGATATTTTCCAAAAAATATAATAATTAACTTATAGCTTACTTATTAATAAAGAGATGGATACTACATAATATAAAAAATAATAACTTTTAGTTGATTATTTTTAACTTTTAGCGAGTGTCTACATTTAGAGAAATTTTAATAAATCTTAATTTTACTCAAAAAGTATTAACATTTTCTTAATTAATATATTTACAAAGTATACCTAAAAGAGTGGGAAGAATCCAAAAATGCAAAAAAATACAGGGTGTTCCATTGAAAATAAGAAAGTTGGTATCGTCCCAAGGAAAACCGAACACCCTGTATAAATGAAAATATAATATTTTAAAAATATTTTTTACTTCGTGAATATTTGTTTCTTACAAATTTTTTGTGACTCCAGTAGTTTCTGAGATAAGTATATGGGTCACCTTACGTGGACCACCCTGTACCTGTGCCTGAGGGGGTGAGGCAAAAAGCGTCTGCAGTGATGAAGTTTCTCAGTGCGCCATGGACGATTTCATTTCAAACACATGGCAAACGTCACATGTCATACGTAATACTTGATTATGATTGGTCCTAATCAGATTGGGTTTTTGCCCAATTTTGCGGGCTGCAGTATTCAGTCAAATCTTAGACCATATAACATACAGGGTGTTATGTAATTAATGTTATATATTACTACTGACTATTACAAAGTCCCGTCCGTTACGCTTTAAATTATTAGTTTTTAAGGAATTAAACAGTCAACCACGATACCTAATTTTTCCAAATAAAAACATTGTTAAACAGCTTTAGTTTAGAACTATTTATAAAAATTTGACATTGGTAATATAATAGAACAATATTATTTTGTAAATAAAAACATGGCAACTGTCCTATCCGTTACGCGTGGAATGGCCCAAAGACTAAAAATAATTTATAATAACCTTTATCCTACCAAAAAGTACGCCACTGATCGACTAGGAACCGCGGATTAACCTTACCTATTACTTTTTAATGCAGTGTTGCCAAATGTAAAATTAAAAATGTATTACCTTATTTGAGATGCTCAAAATGATTTCATTATTTAGAATGCAAGCTTAAACTCTGCGAAGCATGCTTTCGCGCACCCGCGTAAAAATGTCTGGACTATTTACAATTAAGTTCCTGAGTTGCTGCCCAAATCCCGTCTCTCGTAAATGTGGCATCATCGGTATACACAACACTATGGCTCCAATCAGCATCTTCTTGATTTTTCTGTATATACCAATGGCAAAATTCCAACCGCAGTGCATAATCTCCATCCTGAAGAGCTTGAACTTTTTGTAGGTGATAGGGGTACAAACTATTTTCGTGAATCGTGCGCCACGTAACAAAGTTGGACATTTGTCCAAGTTGGGCAGTTAATCGTCTTGTACTAACTCTCGGATTTGCTTCCACGTCGTCCAAAATTTGTTCTTCAAGAGCCACAAATTCACGTCCCTGAGCCCGACCCCTATCACCAACAAATGTGGCTAAATCTTCCGCGGTCCCTTAAATTTTGCACAGCACGTACAAAACTTTGCTCCGAGGGCGGTGGATGTCCGTGATTGGCGTTGTGA